TTTCGGAGTCGTGTTTTTGTGTGGCGTCCTGTTGGAGTGTGGAGGTACTCCCTGAAGTGTCCTCGAGGGGATCAGTGTCTGGGTAGAGGACGGAACGTGCACCTCTACAAGTCTGGCTATCACCACCGGGTATAACTCACTTCACCTTTGTTAGAGTTTTTACATTAGTTTATTACTATGTATGTAAACATGCAAGACAAAAAAAGAGCACAGAAAGCCATATCCTGCTATTGGCCTTTTTTTTAATAAGATTTTCTCCCCATATGTACTTTAGGTACGTCACATCTGTGACGTGTCCACCTGGTACACCATGCTCACTGAGGTCCTGTGCTGTGGACCATGTACAAAAGCGGCCAGAAGCGGAGAAGGTGGCACAATGGGTCGGTGGCTTGCGTGGGATGCCGCTATTTTGTCCCAGCTTAGCGAGGCTCACCAAGCTATGTTCCCTGCCATCCTCACCAGCAAGTGAGTATACTGAACATAATGTGTGCGTTTGACAGACCTGGAAGTGTCACTCAAATCCACCTGAACATATTGATTGTGACTCTACTTATAGGCGTGGCGTGGATAGGACTGTTGTGCGCCTTCTGAGGGACCGGACGGAAGGGAACACCATGGTCAAGGTGTGGCGGCAGATACAGGAGAACCACGTTGAAGAGTACCTTCAGCGTAAGGACCTGTACACCACACTCCTCATGACTGTCGTGAAACCTGGAGGGATCGTTTCTGCACTAAGGCACACTTTCCAGGCTCCACCTCCTCCAAGAGAGCTCCCCTCCGCGCGGCTCCTGCGCCACGCCTTCCTGCTGGCGGAGGCCAACAACGTGCAGGATTACCGGAGCCAGATCCTCTCCACTTTTGGCACTGTGCTGAAAATGGATTCCACCAAGAAAGTATGTAAATCATGCAAAACATCTTGCAGTATTGTTTGGTTTTTTATTAAGTTTTAAATTGAACCCATTTTCACATTGTTGTAAAGTGATTAAGAAAAATCACATATCGCAAAAACGTTGGTTAAGGTCTCCAAGGGTCTCAGATAACTTCCACCAAATCCCAAGACAATGAATGATATACGAATAAAGTAATGAGCGAAAGTCGGGTCCAAATACGGGGCTAATGCGATTTTTGCGAGGCTGCTAATGAGATTTTTTTTCAAGTGACGCAAGCGACTGTAGACAGTTACGCGTTCTGATTGGTCTAGAGTCTACAGTGACTGTAGACTCTAGACCAAACAGAACGCGTAACTGTCTACAGTCGTTGCGCTACTGTAGACTCGACCCCCCGCGAGGGGGTCAGCACAGCCGGAGTGCAATGGCTGAGCCTCACCCTGTGTGAACCGCCTTCTTGATCACGGTATCTCCCTTGCCAGGTAAGTATGAGCTGGAGATGGCGGTGGAGGGCTAGTCATTCCAGTGCACACGTTTTTGGCTGACGGTTACCACTTGGCCCCTGATAATAACGCATCATATCGACCAGGGTTTAATTACGTTTATGAATACAGTTGTGGAGAGAGCGGTGGAAAAGCGATTAATTTTGTTTTACTTGGTTATTGTCCGACTATTTTCCCATCATACAACACGGTAGAAATGATCTTTACCTTGACGTTTTAATATCTACACGTCTGTCTGATATCACAAAAGTATGCGATGTAACAAAATGCTGAAATCACGTTCGTGCACATACAGCCAAACGAATGACACCAACTATTTATGGTGTTTCGTAGCATTCCAGGCATTGTAGCAGTGGCGGCTCCTGAAAAAATTCTCAGGGGGGGCAATTTTTCTGATGATTTAGGTGACCTACACACATTTAAAAAAAGATATGTCCAGCAACAACATGAAGACAGGGGCAGCATATAAGTCAATACCAGAAGCATTTATTGACTGATCTCAAAAGTGTTGGCTTACCAGGGTTGGTGGAGCCCTCAGTTTCATCTTTGCCTCGCAAAGCTAACTCAAACACTCCGCAAAACTTCACACACTGGATTAGCCGGCTGAGGATGTGGCGGTTCTTGCTAATGTCGTAGTAAATATATTTGTTATAGTGAATATGGAATATGATATGTTGAGTAAAATGTTGTGCTAAGATCTATTTAGGTCAGGAGCTGGTTATAAGTTCTGTTCCTATCCAATAACAATGGACAAAAGGGTCCTATCTTGTCAGCCTTGTCAGTTTCAGTTCTCCAGTAAACTTGTGATTATCAACACTAACCTCATCGTTGTGGCGGCGGACAGCTAGCCTGTATCCCTCATCCAGTTGAGTGGGAATGTTCACTCTCCCCAAAGCAGACAATCTCAAACAGCTATCCATGTGGGTCTTTGACAGCTCATGTTTCTTAATCTTTCCTGAAAGATGGTGCATGTCCGTTACACACCAGTCGCTGTCCAAGCGGTGCTGTCTGCCGTGCCGCCTTCAGGGTGAAAGAGTAAGCAGGGGGTAGCAGAAGACTGCATTAGCTACATCGCAGCCTGCTAGCCAGGTTTTTCGTTCGTACCAATTTTTGGAAAATCCTCGGGTGTAGGACTTCCCCCCTTTAGTAGAAACCTGTTGAATTATTAAATTTGGTCTGGGAGGTCCTAATTGTTTCGTTGCCAATTTATCTTCATTTGTTCGCCGACAAAAATAACTTCTTTCAAAGACACAATCGAGTTGCACTGAAGCCTAGCCATTTTGATAGTAGTAGTGAATTGATTGACGAGGCTACCCGCTCTTTTCTTAGTTACGTTCATGGTTATGTTACGTATGACGAAAGCGCGTAAGTGCAAGCCCTCAGAAACCCATAGAGATTGTATTGAAAGCTCTGATATTTGAAAAAAATTGATTTTACATGGGAGTCTATGACAGACTTCTGGGCGATTTTCAACCTGACTGAAATCGCCCCAAAAGGGGGGGGGGGGGGGCATTTGAAGCACGACTTTAGCCTGATTGGACATTTAGTGGCACTGTGGCAGATCAGACGTCTAGATTACAACACTGATAACTACTGTTGCCGTGATATAATTGATTAGAAAAAAAATCCCTTCCTTTTCCCGTTTGGCAGTGCGTCGCCCATATCGCCCTATTGAACACACCGCCCCTGCTACCTACACTGTCTTTTCTGTAGCTTTGTTTATAACTAAATGCATCGATTTAGTGCGTGTTTATGGGCCTAATGGCCCCCAGTTCACATGCTAGTCCAAACTAGGAAACTCTGACATTTCCGATTTGTTGAACACTGCACGTGTATAACTACAACAGAGTTCCATTAGCAGGTGTGATGAGAACTCGATCCGGTGGAAAACACGATCCGAGCGCATATTTCAGAGAGCGCTCCGTAAGCCACGCCCCAGCGGGCAGAGCTAATATGATATAAAAGCCACTCATTTTACAGTTTGTCCGCCATGGTTCTGTGTAGCCTAGTTATGCTAATATATTTGAGACCAGTGTATTGCAGGTCATTTCGTCTTTGACTTAATAAGTAAAATATATTTGAGTAGTAAACAGGGAAACAATAACGAGTCCCAGACAGTTCGCAAAATAGAACATACCAGAGGCATTGTTTACTAGGCTACCTAAATTATTGGGATCATCTGGTTGCCACAAGTCTTTGGAATACATTGAGCGCGTTGACAAAACAGTCCATAGAACGCCTTTTCACACGAAGGGTCCGCGGTGGTTCTGTGTAAATTATGCGATTTGTGAGTTGAGGGGGAGCAACAGGCAGGTGGCAAGTAGAGTGGGGCCAGGCACATCCAGGTGTAAGTAAAAATAGCCTATAAAGCCAAAAATAAAAACACAGTAGAAAATACGATAAATTCTGGTTCTTTCAATCACATTCATGTCTCTACACAGCATGTCTTCCTCCATTTCTATCGGTCTTGATTTGAGATATCACTAGTGAAGTGCAACATTGTATCAAATCAATCAACTGGATCTGTTCGGAAACTGTCTTTAGCGAACAGGCAACATTGTATCAACTTGCCTATTCCTGGCCCAGAGCGTGAGTGAGCTCGGTACAGACTGCTGTTTTTGTGCAAGGGAAAGGAAGGTATTTTGTTTTCACTGTGTGAGGTGAATAAAAAAATTACTGATAAGCTCAGCATATTAGTGGTGGACGTGGTGACTAAGACAATCAGAAATCATTAAAAATATATATATCTCAAACATTTTTTAAAAGTGAAATGCGGCCGCAGTAAAAAGACCAAAAAACCTGCCTCCAGCGACCAATACATTTTCACCCGCAAACATCGTTTAAGTAGCCCAACTTGTTTGTGAAACCGCGAACATGGCAACCCTGCTCGAGTCACGTTACCACGGTAACCTCCAGCACTTAAAGCGCAGGTGAGCATTTTTGTGAAACGTGATATTTTGGTTAAGACTCAGGTCACAAAAAATGAAATGAAACAACATACCACTACTTCTTACTAGTTATATATTTGTTTTAGAAACATTACAAAGCTTGCTGGAGTAATTTGTGAATAAAAGTATTATGGCTGGTAAAACATCTAAGTGGCTGGTAAAAATGTTTATCTACCCGACTGGTGGACCAGAAATGTAATTTTAGGCCCTGAATCCAAAATTGCCAAAGTTTCACAGACAACGTTTGTTAGGAAGGGTCAATGCTGTTGGTGGCTAGCTGACCATCTTGCTCAATATCCTAGAGGCATGTTAGCTAAAACTATTTAAAAATATTAGCCTAGCTAGCTAAACAATGTAGCTATATTCCGATTTCATACTAGTATTCGCCTAGCCATAGTAGCTATTTTCAAATCATTGTTTGATATTCATGTTGCGCATTAAAACACAAGCAAAATAGCAAAAAAAAAGTGTGTCTTTAAAAGAAAAAAATTAGATATTTTACAACTACTGCGCCCCCTCTGCTTACCTCATCAGACCGTCAGTGGGAGGCTCCAGGTGAGCTGTTATGAAAGGTTATAACCACTCCCCACTGAATAAGCTTAATCTTCAATTTGGCCCATCTGTAATGTTCAGTAAAAAAGTAAATAAGCTTAATTCCGAAACACCTCTTTAGTTGTTCACTTGTAACACACATACATTAAATAGATATTTGAAATCGAACAAGGTTATCAGTTATAAAGCAACTTTCTTTCTAAAAGACAGTCTCCAGCATCTTCAATTTATTTAATGACAATAATAATTGTTAACCCCCTATTGTGACTTCTCAACAGAATACCATAGAGGGTGCTTATACAACCATAAAATATAATATTTATTATCTGTCGCCTCTCCCAAATTGTCAGACTTCATAGTTCTTCATATTTGTACCGTTTAGTTTAAGATGGACAAGTGTAGTCTCAATAATTTACACATTATGAAATCAATGTATAGCCTACACACAAAAAACACACCTAAAAGTATACACAGGCAGCAGGAACGCTGTCCCAAACGAATTGAGGTTGGTTTTTAAACAAGGTCTCAATAATCTTAATTAAGACTTAATTACACAAAACAATGGAGTTCAGGCGCTTATGAAGGAACCAGCGCTGGCAACTCTTATTGGAACACATGCACACAAAAAAAAGACCAAAAGAAAGTAGTCCATGTACATTATACACACAAATAAACGGTCTGGGGATTCACACAGGGACGTGCAGCCCTCCGGGTGCAGCAGGGAAGCAAGTGCAACACTGATCAGGAGACTCTGGCCCTGTCTCAAATGAAACCCTATTCCCCCCGTAGTGCACTACCAAAGCACTTAGTGCACTCCACTTGGGGCTCGGATCAAAAAGAGTGCACTATATGGAGAATAGGGATTAATTTGATATTTGCCTACTATAATTGTGCGCAGTTTGAAATCCTATTACTGTTCAGTCCATGACCAGAGAGAAGGCCCATAGCCGTCCAATCAGTGACCAAATCTCAGCCCTATAGTTGAGTTGTCCAGTCAGTGACCTGAGCTCAAGCTCTATAGTTGTCCACATTCAGTGATGACAATCTTCTTGCTGGGTTTGCCAGTCTTGGTGCCCAGCTCTCCCATGCTGCGGACCACATCCATGCCCTCTCTGACGAAGCCAAAGGCCACGTGTTTGAAGTCCAGGTGCTCAGCCTTCTTCAGTGTGATGAAGAACTGGGAGTTGTTGGTGTCTCGGCCGTGATTGGCCATGGACAGCAGCCCTGGGCCCGTGTGGCGCACATCAAAGTTCTCGTCCTCAAACTTGTCCCCGTAGATGGACTTCCCTCCTGTCCCGTCCTGGTTGGTGAGGTCTCCACCCTGAGTACAGAGGAGACAGACGTTAGGAAAGACTTATCTGGTGTCCCCACCATGACACATAAAAAAGCTAAGTTAGACAGAGCTGTGGTTTACAAACTGTTTTTGTGTTCCAAGAGGCACTGACTGACCTATTTGGGAAACATGGCATTGAAGGTTATGAACTCACTTTGGTGGGTCTGAGAATTGTCTGGTTTGAGTCCAACCTGGTCATCACTAGTTAACACAGCCACAAAGTCATAAACCCCACCTATTTCTACAATGTATCTTCTTAAAATCTGATTTTAAACCCAACCACACTGCTAATCTTATGCCTAACCTTAAATTAAGACCAAAAAGCACATTTCGGTTTTCATGAATTAGCCAATTTTGACTTTGTGGCTGTGTTATTTAGTGGAAACAGTCCAACCCCACACAGGCACTCCCCTCTCCTCACCTGACACATGAAGTCCGGAACGATCCTGTGGAAGACAGAGTTGCGCAGCCCGAAGCCTTTCTGTCCTGTACACAGCGCTCTGAAGTTCTCAGCCGTCTTGGGGACAATGTGAGAGAACAGTTCTATGGTGACCATTCCCAGGGGCTCGTCGTCAGCGGTGATCGAGAGGTACACCTGGGGGCAGAGTTTCATATAGATTATTTTACAAGCCATCATTTTAGTAAAATTTCAACAAATATTTTAGGTGGAGTGGACAAAAGTCGTAGGCTAGGCGCCCCACCTATACAATAGCAGGCTGGGGAAACACTGACCTGGGGGTTGGAGTCTCTAGAATGTTCCTGGACCCTGGACATCTGGGGGAAGGCCTCTGACTGGCTCATACGGCTCTGACACTCACAGAAGGTTTTCCTGAAACACTCAGCCAGCTCTGCTGTCTTGAACTTGGCTGCCAACTGCTCCACCTTACCCTCACCCTCTTGAGAGATAAATCAGGATCAATACATCAACTATATAAGAATCAACATTTCTACATAGCGCTGTGTGTGTGTGTATATATGTGGGGGAGCTGTGTGTAGAACTACCTGCAAAGTCAGTAGCGGTCCAGACAAGGGCTTGGTTGGAGGTGTTCATGGGTTTGAGCTCCATGCTCTGGCAGATGGTGTGATTGGCACACACCTTCAGCACCTGCTCCCTCCTCATCAGCACCCGGTAGAACCTCTTATCAGGGTGGAAGAGGATCTTGATGTCGCCCACACCCCTCTCCTTCCACTGGCCCAGGGCTCTCTCCCAGCGGTACAGCTTGGTACGCTCCTTAAACAGGATCTCCTCATCCTCTTCCCCTGACTTAGTCTCCACCTAGATAACACAATTACAAGCAGGTTAATCAGGAGGGTGTAAGTTTACAGAACTCGTATAGAAATGTATCAAGTAGAACAGGCAAGATTCTCTGTCATAGATAGAATGTGGAGTCATGACAGCCTCCAACTAAAACACATTTACAGTCAGTTATAATGATGATGTGGAGTCTGCTTGGCACTCAGCATTAAGAAGATAGATTGGGGGTAAGGACCTGAAATAGACTAGCGTCCTGTTGAGGGGGTGTACTTGTACATCAAGCTGCCTCACGCTTCAGAAACAGGTGATAGGCTCCTGGTCCTATGAGCTGTTTCGGCTCGCACAAGCCATGGCTACTTTACTTTATAATGGCGTTCCCAGTAAGGTTAAGTGGAGTTAGATTAATAAATACCTCTGGTAGGGAGACTATGGGTTCAAAGTCAATGTCCAGATTATTAGCGTCCTCTTCATCGCTCCCCTCCTCCCCTCCCTCAGCTTTGGGTGGGGCTGCAGCTCCAAACAACGTAGCCCCGGCATTCGCCCACGAGAAGTTAGAATCTAACAAGGAAACATTTTAAAAGTTAACTGATATGTTTGTATTCACTGAAACATAGCTCACAGTTGTGTCATGTTAACTTGTAAAACCTTAAAATTAAGCACACATATTGAATTTCCTTCAGTCAATTGTATTCAGAAAATGTAGAAGTGCCAACCTTGTTTTCCGAAGGAGAATTCACCCCCGGTGTTCTGTGCCAGTTCAGCGAAGGAGAACCCTTCCCCTCCCAGATCACTCAAGCCCAAGGAGCCAAATGTGTTAGGAGCATCTGTAAAGGAGAAATAAAGGATGAGAAGACAGGTTGCTGTACTGGTGTTAGAAGTGGGATTGTGCTGCTGTGAGGACATCGAGTGTATGCCCAAGAGGGACATGCTCTTCCTGATCAGTGTAGAATGCAAATGGTCTGCAATGATAAATATCTCATACCATGAGTAATGGTTGTAGTAAATGTCGACGTGGAGTCAGAGGTCTTCTTGGTAGACAGGTCTATGGGGCTGCTGCTGGTAGCTGCAGGAATAGAGTCTGACTGATCTGGATCCTGCTCACCACTGCTGGCTGCAGGGTTTGGAGTTTGACAAGAAACACAACTGCTTGCAGACTCCTCATTTCTAACAAGACATGTGTCACACTCCCACTGCCCTGGCTTTTTGCCAAACTGTGCACCAAATCCAAATAAGGGGGTCACCAAAGCTGGGGCACTAGCAGCATGTTTTGCTGAAAGGTTTGGAGTTTGAGCCTGCTCCCCACTGCTAGAGACTGCAGTCTGAGTTGGAGTGGAGTGTGACTGATCAGGAGTCTGCTGCTCCTCTGTAGTGGTCTGGACCTCTGCCTCCTGGATGGTTACCGACTGAGCTGGGAACTCAGCCTCTGCAGTAGAGGACTGAACCTCTGCCTCAGACTGATCTGCAGCCTGTTCTTGGCTGCTGGGGGACTGGTCTGGGAACTGTTGTTCTGGCACTGTGTCGCCGGTGCTGGAGGACACAGCCTCAGATGAAACTGGGTGTGAGCTTCTCTCTGCGTCCTGAAACACAATAACCAAAACATCAACATTTTCTTGAGAGAACTATAGTAGTTTAAATTTCTTATATCCTAATGCCACATAAGATGTTTATCTACGTGTGCAAACAAATTTATATATTATAGAAATCTCAACAGGGACTCCTGTGCTTTACAGACCTCTGGCCTAAAGTCCTCTGGCTTAAAGTCCTCTGGCTTAAAGTCCTCTGGCTTAAAGTCCTCTGGCTTAAAGTCCTCTGCCTCGCCGCCTACACCACAAAAAGTTGGATGCAGCTGCAGGGTCTTGGCTTTCTGCTCCTCATCTGGAGTAGGCCTCTTCTCCCACACCACCTCAACCGCCGGGTACAAACCCTCAGCACCTGCCTCAGGCTCAACACCAATCTCCGCCTGAGCTGCTGAGAGGAGAAGGTTATTGGAGAGGTAACTTTTGAGGAGAAATTTCACCAACCTATCGATGGCTATTCATACATCTCTCTATAGCCACTATGGCCTTGAAACTTACCAGAACCTGCACTTGCAGCCTTTCTCTCAGGAGGATCCTGGTACAGTTTTCCATTCAGGGCTTTAACTGCTGTCTCAAAGTCCTCATCTGCAACACAAACTAACATTAGCAACACAGTCAACTACGATTAGTAAACCTTTGCTCATACAGTTAGAAAAGGTTTGCAAGAGAGCGTTGGTGTCATTTCTCACCGTCTGTCTGGTCGTCGCTAGTGTTTCCTGGTTCATTCTGGTAGCAGAAGAAGGTGAGAGGCAGCAGGAGTTCCCTGGCCAGAAGAGCCTGCTCCGCAGTCGGCTGCCTCTCATACACCACCTCCACGTCATCATCAGCCTTCACCTGGGGGGGTGCTATAACAACACAAAGAGTGAGACAACTCCCTCGGGCGACCCCCTTCCTACAGAACAGTCTACAGAACAGAGACATTGAAGGCAGTAACAGAATTATACAACTTTATTAACCTCCAAGGTGAATTTGTATAATATAATTGCAAAATACTGTACAATAATTGGATCTACAGAACATTTTATGACTTGACTGAATTATGCTGCAAGGTTATTGTTTGGTACTGTAGGGCAGTACATTTAACTTACTATCCTAAAATTGTTCACCTGCTAAAAAGTCACAACCATTTCACTAAAGAGGTAGTTGCATGTCTAGGGTTAGTTCCACACCGAAACACATGCATCTCAAAAATTGACATCATGCATTTCACCACACCGAGCAAGCAGTTTCCTATATCTGAGAATGCTATAACTATTGAGGAAGTGAATCTCAAAGGCATCATAAACATTAGAACCATGGATCTACAGTGTACTGTACATGAGGCCAACCATAGAAGATTCCAGTTTAACCATTTCCTACTGGTTCTCTAAAACCAATTAATATGCCAATTAGCATAATAAAAAATCCCCATAAAAATCTGTCAGTTTAAGCTAGAGACACACTCCATGGCCAAAAGTACATGGACACCCTTTCAAATGAGTGGATTCTGCTATTTTATCCACACCCGTTGCTGACAGGTGTATAAACACAGCCATGCAATCTTCATAGACAAACATTGGCAGTAGAATGGCCCGTACTGAAGAGCTCAGTGACTTCATAAGATGCCACCTTTCCAACAAGTCAGTTCGTCAAATTTCTGCCATGCTAGAGCTGCCCTGGTCAACTGTAAGCGCTGTTACTGTGAAGTGGAAACGTCTAGGAGCAACAACGGCTAAGCCGCGAAGTGTAAAGTTTGGTGGAGGAGTAATAATGGTCTGGGGCTGTTTTTCATGGTTCCTTCCAGTGAAGGGGAATCTTAATCCTACAGCATACAATGACATTCTAGACGATTCTGTGCTTCCATCTTTGTGGCAACAGTTTGGCCCTTTCCTGTTTCAGCATGACAATGCCCCCGTGCACAAAGCAAAGCCCACACAAATGTTTTGTTGAACTCGGTGTGGAAGAACTTGACTGGCCTGCACAGAGCCCTGACCTCAACCCAATCAAACACCTTTGGGATGAATTGGAATGCCGACAGAGCTAAGCCTAATCGCCCAACATCACTAACGCTCGTGGCTGAATGGAAGCAAGTCCCCGCAGCAATGTTCCAACATCTAGTGGAAAGCCTTCCCAGAAGAGTGGAGGCTGTTATAGCAGCAAAGGGGGGACGAACTCCATATTAATGCCCATGATTTTGGAATGAGATGTTCGACGAGCAGGGGTCCACATACACTACATGGCCAAAAGTATGTTTTCTTGCATTGGATGCGTCTCAATGCACCTGCCTATGTGTCTCAATCCACTGCATCCGCTTATGTTGCACTTCCGCATCTGCGGTGAAAGGTGACAGAGCTAGAGTGATGTTTAGCCCACAAACTATTAAAACCCCTCTATGGAAAGAGGACTCTCACGAACACGATGGTGTTCTCCATTTTGCTCTACGACCCCCACAAGCATCTTGGGACTCGTCTGAAGTAGGTACAGCCGATCTGCCAACTTCTGTCTGTAGTGTCCGAACAGTTTGGGCTACACACTAATATGACCCATCTGTGGAAAGGTGAGACACGAACATGTCGGTTGTTTTGCTCTAGGACGCCCACAGGCCTTATAAGACTTGTCTGAATGTCCCCGGGTACCAGTTGAAAAAATAATCTCAGATATAGGACAGACCCTTCATAAACTTCATTTCAATTATTTTTTGGGGGGGCTATCTGTTATTCAATGCTTTTGTATGTGGCTAATAGCACTAAGGCCAAATACATTTAAAATATATATATTTTACACACACTTCAAGGGTGCTTATAATTCCAAATCAAATTATCCTTGGTATGACCTTCTAAATAGATTACCATCCAGTGGTAGAACACAAACGCTTGTAACATACAGCAGCACATTCTACCTGGGTTTGAACTCTGGGACATACTGTAAATCTCTGGAACGAAACGGAACAGACGTTGCCTTTCACACTGTTGCTACCCATCCTGGACTAAAAATGTTTGTGACGTTGGAGTGTGTGTGACAGTACATTCCTGTCAGGAAGCATGGCTGGAATCTCCCCGTGTCTCCTTTCAACAGAGGGAGAAGAACTCTATCATCGTCAACACTCCAGTGGCCGCTACCAGGAACTTAGTCCTTTCACCTTTCTATTAGCTAAACAGCTAGCCTAACATTCATTCGTAGTAAGCCTAACAAGCAAAGTTTGAAATGTGTTCTACCCTCTTGTGGCTTTGAGTCTCTAGTGATTTGTCAAGGAGTGCCCTCAAACTCAACTCTGGACCTCAAAGCCAGTTACACTGCATTTTTTCATTGTTCCCCTCTAATCAGGAACTGATTTAGACCTGGGACACCTGGTGTGTGCAATCAATTATCAGGTAGAACAAAAAAACAGCAGTCTCCGGACCTTGTAAGGTAAGAGCTGACTACACCTGCTCTAGAGTAATAGTAACTGTTGAGTATAGATGGGCATGCAGCTCGGTAGGTTGTTGTACTAAAGGTTTGTATGTTCCACTCGTTGCGTGCGGGTTAAGACTGGCTACAAAGCAGGCCCAGCCGTGTAGGTGACGTGTCACAGCACACACACAGTGCAGTGTCAGAATACCTGGGGGCTCAAATTGGGTGGATGAGGCGCTGGTCCAAAAAGCCATTGGGTTATCTTTGAAAAGCCTAAAATCCAATCCTACAAAATAATGGTTGGCAGGTGAGACAACCTAGAATTGGGGGTGGGTGGATTAAGAAATGAAAATGTGTTGAAATGAGTCTTCAGTGAGATTCAAGTTGCTGAACGTCATTACATTATCTAAGTGTAATGGATTATACAATCTTTCTATATTCTGTCCTGTCCCCATCTCTGCCTTCATGAAGATGTAGCTGCTATACCTCTTTGAAAATGGAGTGACTGCATTATCCTTAGGGGATTAGATTACTAGGCGAAGTGTACTGGATTACATAATTGGGATTACATCTGCTATCATATCAAACAACCTATATCAAAATACCAGGTGTGAGGAAGTGGATGTAAATTAGGCTAATGGGAATGACTGGGTTAAGTTAAGTGGTCCTCTGTAGCTCAATTGGTAGAGCATGGCGCTTGTAACACCAGGGTAGTGGGTTCGATCCCCGGGACCATCCATACGTAAAAATGTATGCACACATGACTGTAAGTCGCTTTGGATAAAAGCGTCTGCTAAATGGCATATTATATTATTATAAATTCTGTTCTGCTAACCTAACACTGGGTGTGGGCTGGTGGAAGAAGCAATGAGATGAACCAATGGGACATGAATGGAATCACAACGGGGTCAAATTGTGTGAAAACTCCATCATGGGAGGGGGGGGGGGGGGGGTCACCATTCAAAAACAAGCAGTTCACACTGAACCACAAGAACAACAAAATCAACCGAGAAAGGAAAACAATAAAAGGCTTACCCTTTTCTGGGATTTTGAATGCAGGTGAGGGCTGGGCGATCCGACCGCTGTCTTTAGCCTTCGAGCTCTCTGAAGAAACATCCTCCTTGGACGACGGGAGGCTGCTGCCGAAGATCTTCTGGAGAGAGTCGGTTCCGAAGAGGAACTTGGGAGGAGACACCACCATCTTAGAGGGGTTGAGAGGGCTGTGTGGTGTGGAAGTGGAGGCCTTGCTGTCAGGGGTGTGGAAAGTCTCAGAAGACAGCTCAGTCCGTTCTCTGGTGGTCTCCTCCAGGATGGCCACAGCAGCCTGTCCACACACTGTCGTCCCTGTGGCTGGAGCTGTTGCTACCTCCTGAGGGGCCTCACAGGAGGCTATGGGAGTGACCAGAATCTCATTCTCCTGGGCAGTTTTAGCTTTGTCAAAGATGTCTCTGAAGGAGTTGGCTACATCCTGCAGTTTGAACCTCACCGCTAACTGTTCCACATTTCCCTCCGCTACCTCAGCAAAGTCAACAGCACTCCAGACCCAGGCCTTCTCAGCACCCTTCATGGGCTCCAACTTCATAGAAGATGTGACCCAGTGGTTGGCGCAGATCTTCAGGACTTGGTCCCGCCTCATGAGGAGTCTGACTTGTTTGGTGTCGTAGTTCTGCAGTATCTTGAGGTCTCCGATGCCCCTCTCCTTCCACTGGTTCAGGTCTTTGTCATAGCGGTACAGCTTTGCTCTGTGGCTGAAACATATGTTTTCATTCTCCTCTCCAGTGGAGATCTCCACCAGGTCTGGCAGGGGAACAACAGGCTCAAAGTACAAGCCATCCCTCTCCTCCTCCTCCAGGGTCGCGTCCTGCTCCTCGTCCACAGACACCCCGCTCTGGTTCAGCTTGGCCGCCGACTTGGCAGGACTGATGACAGGCTGGAAGCTGAAGTTAAAGCCAGCTGTGGATTCTCCAAAGCAGAAGAGGTTCTTCCTGATTGGGCTGCTTGCTAGGGGTGAGGCGTAGACAGATGTGTCAGCACTGTCGTCCAGAGCCTCCTCTCTCAGGTCATAGTTGTCCCATTCTAAGGTAGGGCCAGTGCTCTCCGCGTGGGGCTTGATGATCAGACCTGAGGTGTTACTGGCTGTCGTGTTGTTAGCTTGGCTGTCGTCCTCCTTGATCTTTGTTTTGTCATCAGTCAGGAAGGATTTAAGGTCTTTCAGACCGGACTTCATCTCCTCTGCCTTCTGGATGAGATGTGCAGTTCTGCCTGTGTCGACAAGCTTGTGAGGAGTCTGCAGTGGGATGTCCAACAGGAGCCTCTGACACTCCTCAAATTTCAGCTTGAACTCCTCAGCCAGCTCTGGGGTTTTAAACTTGGCGGCGAGTTGCTCCAGTCTGGCATCTCCTTCTGAGAAGTCATTAGCCAGCCACATCCAGGCTTTGTTGGAGCCAGCCAAGGGCTTCAGGTTCATGGTGGTGGTGATCCAGTGGTTGGCACACACCTTCAGGACCTGCTCTCTCCTCATCAGCACCCTCAACCTGCCGTTGGTGGCGTTCTTCAGGAACTTGAGGACCCCAACACCCCTCTCCTTCCACTGGCTGATGTCTCCGTCAAACCTGAAGAGCTTTACTCTCTGTGAGTAAAGGGCCTGTTCATCCTCCTCTCCTGTGACCAGGTCCACTTTCTCAGGCATCTGGACCACAGGCTCAAACTGGATATCGTCATTCTCCTCTGTTTTGTATATGTCCTCTTCATCCTGGTCAGCAGATGTGTCTGCCCACTGGTTTGACTGAAGGGATGTGAACAGCTGCTCGCCAGCATGGGTGAAGCCTTTGAAATTGGAGTCGGTCGGTTTAAACTTGAAGTCTCCTTGTGAGTTCTTAGCCAAATCTGCAAAACTGAAGTCATTGGGTTTGCCAGTGAAGAGGAGATTCTCATCCTGATTGGTGTTGTCCACCGACAGCACTGATGCAGATACACTGACGCCAGATTCCTTCTCTTTCCCTCTGTGCTGCTCTGCGATATTCTTCAGGAACATGGACGCAGACCCTGAAGCAGGAGTCTGAGTTTCAGCTGGTGGGGTTTCCTTTGCAGTTTCCTGAGTGCCAAACTTAAAGCCACCTGCTGGGACGGGCATGGTGAAAGAGAAGCCTGCAGCATTGGGGCCACTGCTTTCAGCCTGAGGGGTCTCAAACTTGAAGGATGCAGTGCCTGCGGGCTGAGTAGATGTACTTTGACTTTCAAAGCTAAAGTTGAAGGATGAGCTGGAGGGGGTGGCTGTGCTCTTAGCATTGGGTGCCTGACAGGAGACACATTGACTAGCAGAGCCGTCGTTTCTGACTAGACATGTGTCACAGTCCCACTGTCCCCCCTGTTTGGAAAACATGGCCCCAAGAGAGGGGGTGCTGCTAGCATTGGGTGTCTGGCAGGAAATACACTTAGAGGCTGATGCATCATTCCTCACTAGACAGGTATCACAGTCCCATTGTCTGTCCTTCTTAGAAAAAAGACCACCAAAGCCCGACACTGTTGGCTTTGGTGGTGGTGCTACCTCTACTGTTGATTTTGCAGTGGGATTTGGAGTTTGACAAGAAACACAACTGCTTGCAAATTCCTCATTTTTAACAAGACATGTGTCACACTCCCACTGCCCTGGCTTTTTGCCAAACTGTACTCCAAATCCAGAACTAAATGGAATGGTTGAGGGCTTTGATGCTGCTGCTCCATCTACAACAGTTTTGGCTGCTTGGTTTGGAGTTTGACAAGAAACACAACTGCTTGCAAATTCCTCATTTCTAACAAGACATGTGTCACACTCCCACTGCCCTGGCTTTTTGCCAAACTGCACTCCAAATCCGGAACTAAATGGAATGGTTGAGGGCTTTGATTCTGCTGCTACTTCTGCTGTGGTTTCTTTCTTCTTACCAGACTGGGCTCCAAAACCAGCAGCAGGTATAGAAGTGGTGCCACTCGTTCCAAAAGTAAAGGAGGAGGGTATTTGAGCTCCAAAAGCCCCAAATCCCTTTCCAATAGATCCTGCGCTGCTGGTGTCTTTTGGCGAGTCAGCTCCAAATCCAAAAGTAAATCCTCTCACTGAAGCTGCCCCACTAGTCAAGCCTTTGGTTTCAGTAGCCGGTTTGCTGTTGGTCTCTGACGGGGAATTAGGGTTGGCTGTCTGACAGGCAACACACTGCATAATTGTAGCAGCATTTCTTACACAGCACACGTCGCAATCCCACTCCCCGTCCTTCTTTGCAAACTGGGCAGCAAAGTTTGTCGCCTGAGGAGGAGATGAATTAGGAGAAGTTTCTTTCCTACCTGGCTGATCTTGCCGCTTTTCTGGAAATTTGGGAACGATCTTCTGAGCCTCTTCAAACTTTGTTTTGAAGAGCAATGCCTCGTCTGCCGTTTTGTACCGGATGGCCAGTTGCTCAGGCCTTGGTTCCTCATCTGCATAATCAATGGCATTCCAGACCCAGGACTTGTCAGAGCCAGCATTTGGTTTAAGGAGCATATCTGGCGTGATGTAGTGGTTAGCACAGATCTTCAGAACCTGCTCCCTCCTCATCAGCAGACGCACTTTCCCTGATGTATTGTGCTTTAGGATTTTGACTATGCCGATGCCCCTCTCCTTCCACTCTTTAGTCTCTGCATCAAATCTGAACAGCTTGGCCCTGTTACAGAACATCTCCTCTTCTTCCTCCTCTCCAGTCTTCACATCTACCTTGTCAGGGAGGGGCACAATGGGCTCAAAGTGAGGCCCATCCTCATCCTCCTCCACATGAGTGCTGTCGTTATCGCTCTCCGGTCCTTTCTCCACCGCTGTGTTTTCCAGCCCAAATACCGGCTTGGTCAGATCAGTGAAACTATTTGGCTGTTCAATTTTTTCAAACAGGTTTGGTTTGTCCCGACTCTGGGCTGCATCAGTGAAGGAGAAGCCTACTGCGCTTTTAGTGCCAAAGCTAAATATCCCTCCCTGGCTAGGAGGCTTCACCTCTGAAGGGCCCTCAAATTTAGTGGGAATGTCTGACGTCAGAAGCCCCAACAGGTTCTCACTGTTTTTGGCCTTGAAGGTAAAGTCCCCATCATTGGATTTGAAGTTGGAGTTGAATTTAAAGGCAGCGGATGATGGAGTGGACTGGGCAACTACTCCAGCACCAAAGCTAGGCACCGTAAGAGGCTCAGCAGGGACATGCTGGCCAAAGGAGATCTTCCCAAAGTCCACAGGCTTCCCCTCAATGCTCTTTGGTGGTTGAACAGGTACAACTGAGGGCTTGGTGAAGTAGCCAGGCTCAGGGAGGGGAGGGTTAGTGGTGGGCTGAGAGTGGCCGTAGAATTCCTCACTGTATGGGGAGAGTAGACTGGTTGCTGGTGACTCGAAGCGGAGGGGGACACCAAAGACCTGGTCTTGAGGAGGGTAGATGCAGGCTGGTGTTGACTGCAGGGGAGGTGTGTTAGTGGGCTGCTGGTACGCATACATGTGCTGCTGGGGTGGCAGGCGGTTGATTCCATACACAGGAGGCTGAGACAAAAGAGAAAGAAAATTTCATTGAAACTAAAACCTGTTCATTTCATATTTGCCACCGAAAAGACTCTCCCACTTCAAGTATCTAAACCATTCTGAATTCTCAAAGAAAAAGAAGATTCCCATGGTATAAACACCTACCTTTATTGGGGTAACATTGGCTGCAGGACGAAGGAGATACTGTCCGGAGTTATAAGCAGGGGATTGATTGAAATACATAGAAGGGGCCTGTGTGGTGGCAACTGTAAACATAAAGAGAAGAGGAAAGGTTATAATCAACGGTCATAATTTCATATTCTAGCAACATTGCTATTTCAGTATTCCTAATAATACAGCCTGAAACTACACAACCCAGTTGTGTACCGTGTTCCTACCGGTGAGGGGTGCTCCATGGAAGGTCTGTGTTGGGGGGTAGCCCTCCTGCATGTCAGGCCCATACCCATCTCCAAACATCCTTTGGTGGGGTGACGCCATGCTGTCTGACGAGTTATGTCTCAGGTCATGGACCTCATTCTGCAACACAACCACACAGCACAACACTTAACAGAAACCATGCATGGACATCTATAATTGAATTAATAGGCACACTTGACATGGGCAACATCTCCCATATCCTCAGACAACGAAGCTAGGGGCTGACCTTAAGGGCTTCCACCTGCTGGCAGAGCATCTGCAGGAGGGACTTCTGGTCCTCCGCCCAATGAGGTGGCGTCTTGGGGGAAATCTGGAAACAGAGGAGAAAAATAATGTTTCATTATGTCAAGTTATTTATATTATTTAGGTGAGAAAAACAACCTGTACAATAAATCTAAAACTGAAGTACATAAATGACCAAAATTAGGAAGAGCATCAGTGTCTCACATACAGTGTACAAAATATTAGGAACACCAGCACTTTCCATGACAGTCTGACCAGGTGAAAGCTATGATCCCTTATTGATGTCACCTGTTAAATCCACTTCAAATCAGTGTAGATGAAGGGGAGGAGACAGGTTAAAGAAGGATTTTTAAACCTTGAGAGAATTGAGACATGGATTGTGTATGTGTGCCATTCAGAGGGTGAATTGGCAAGAAAATATTTAAGTGCCTTTGAATGGGGTATGGTTTTAAGTGCCAGGCGCACCGGTTTGAGTGTGTCAAGAACTGCAACGCTGCAGGGTTTTTCATTCAGTTTCCCGTCTATCAAAAATGGTCCACCACCCAAGGACATCCAGCCAACTTGACAACTGTGGAAAGTATTGGAATCAACATGGGCCAGCATCCTTGTGGAACGCTGTCGACACCTTGTAGAGTACATGCCCCAACGAATTGAGGCTGTTCTAAAGGCAAAATGGGGTGCAACTCAATATTAGGAAGGTGTTCCTAATGGTTTTGTACACTCAGTGTAAGTTTACAAGTTAACATTTATCGTACCAGGTGTCTTTTGGAGGGAGGGACAAAGCTGTTGCTGGGGGAGGGGGTTAAAGGGGCGAATTTGATGTGAGAGACTGAGGCAGCAGGCTCAGTAAACTGTGGGCTGAAGTGGACCGTTCTGCCCTCTTCCTCCTCTTCATCCATTGCTTCTCCACTCTCCCCTAGCTGCTGGTTCACATCGTTCAGGAGATCCATCACCTCTTCCATTGAAACGGGCAGCTGGAACAACACACAGTGAATATGGTTGAATGTCATGTCATGCTTCCAACTCTTAAATCTTTGATTAGATATTTGTCAAATATTCATGTGTATATATGCCGTATATTGACGTGTGTGTGTGTCTAACCTTGTCCATGTCGTCAGCGTTGGCGTTGTAGATCTTGGACAGGTAAGTTCTGAACTTCCTGAGGAACATGATGCACCTGTCCTGAGTCTCCTCCACCCCGCTACCGGCCTCCTCAGACAGACGCTGGAAGATCTACAAACACAGAGATATATCAAATACACAATTCATAACAAATGCATTTTGTATGGTAAGACATTAAAAAAATATACAAATTCTGCCTGTACACTATCAAAAATATATACAGTACCAGTCAAAAGTTTGGACACCTACTTATTCCAGGGTTTCTGTATTTGTACTATTTTCTACATTGTAGAATAATAGTGAAGACATCAAAACTATGAAATAACACATGGAATCATGTAGTAACCAAAAAAAGTGTTAAATCAAAATATTTTATATTTGAGATTCTTCAAAGTAGCCACCATTTGCCTTGACAGCTTTGCACACTGATGACAGCTTCATGAGGTAGTCACCTGGAATGCATTTCAATTCATACGTGTGCCTTGTTAAAAGTTAATTTGTGGAATTTATTTTGTTCTTAAAGCGTTTGAGCCAATCACTTGTGTCGTGACAAGTTAGGGGTGGTATACATAAGATGGCCTTTTACCAAATAGGGCTAAGTCCATATTATGGCATGAAGGTCAGGCAATCCGGAGAATTAAGAACTTTGAAAGTTTCTTCAAGTGCAGTCGCAAAAACAATCAAGCGCTATGATGAAACTGGCTCTCATGAGGACCTCCACAGAAATGAAAGAACCAGAGTTACCTCTGCTGCAGAGGATAAGTTCATTAGAGTTAACTGCACCTCAGATTGCAGCCCAAATAAATGCTTCAGAGTTCAAGTAACAGACACATCTCAACATCAACTGTTCAGAGGAGACTGCGTGACTCAGGCCTTCATGGTCAAATTGCTGCAAATAAACCACTACTAAAGGACACCAATAAGAAGAGACTTGCTTGGGCCAAGACACACGAGCAATGGACAGACCGGTGGATATCTGTCCTTTGGTCTGATGAGTCCAAATTTGAGATTTGTGGTTCCAACCGCCGTGTCTTTGTGAGACACAGAGTAGGTGAACGGATGATCTCCGCATGTGTGGTTCCCACCGTGAAGCATGGAGGTGTGATGGTGCTTTGCTGGTGACACGGTCAGTGATTTATTTAGAATTCAAGGCACACTTAACCAGCATGGCTATCACAACATTCTGCAGCGATAAGCCATCCCATCTGGTTTGCGCTTAGTGGGACTATCATTTGTTTTTCAACAGGACAATGACCCAACACACCTCCAGGCTGTGTAAGGGCTATTTGACCAAGAAGGAGAGTGATGAGTGCTGCATCAGATGACATGGCCTCCACAATCACACGACCTCAACCCAATTGAGATGGTTTGGGATGAGTTGGAGTGCAGAGTGAAGGAAAAGCAGCCAACAAGTGCTCAGCATATATGGGAACTCCTTCAAGACTGTTGGAAAAGCATTCCTCATGAAGCTGATTGAGAGAATGCCAAGTGTGCAAAGCTGTCATCAAGGCAAAGGGTGGCTATTTGAAGAATCTCAAATATAAAATATATTTTGATTTGTTTAACACTTTTTTGGTTACTACTTGATTCCATATGTGTTATTTCATAGTTGTGATGTCTTCACTATTATTCTACAATGTAGATAATAGTATAAATAAAGAAAACCCCTTGAGTAGGTGTCCAAACTTGACTGGTACTGTATTTTTTTGTTTTTTACTGGCAGCTGCACTAGAAGGCATGGCGCTAAAGTGCAGAGTGGGAAAAGTGCAGGGGGGACTCCCAGAGCAAGGTAAAGCAGTGAACCCCTCACTACATACCCTAGCTAGGTGCCAGTTAGATGAGATGTTGTTGATTGTCTCCAGGGTAGTGACAGCCTCCTCTGTCCTCCCCTCGACGTCCAAGAGGGTCGCAAACGCTATCATGGCCTCCTCCTCAAAGCCCTTCACTGATGGGATCTGAGATGAACACGCAAACACAAACTCACTAACCAATGAAACTAGAGCAATGCATACATTAAGCCTGGACTCGTCAATTTTCACAATTGGCATCAGTGATATTAAAAGTCTACACGTGTCACACATGCAAATGTTTTAACTCAGCAGACTAACAAGTCTTGTGGAACGCTAGGTTCTAACCCAGTTGGTCAGAAAAGCAGCTGTGGTGGTAGCTCACCTGTATGTCTCTAGAGGGGAAGTGTATGAAGAGGGGGTCCAGGGGTTCAGGGATGCTGCGTCTCCGCTTGATCTTGTCCAGCAGGGGGAGAACCACCTTCCAGTAGTGGACACTACGCCCTATGTACTCCTTCTGGTCATAGTAGGAGTTCACACCAACCCCCTGTGAACAGCACAGCAGGTGTTAAATCTAAATGCAGAAATGGCATTACTTCAAATCAGCCATTATAAGTAAGGACTCATCGTTCTGAGTCGCATTCTCAGATTTAGTTTAATATAGACATAATTTACTGTACCAAAGGGAAATTGCTGATGTGGAATATTCTGACTAGACCAAGAGTTATAAATAATGACCATACACTAATTGGAAGTTATAAATACTATTGAGTAAATGGCAGAGGTAATCATTTCAGACAGACACCTAGCATATCATGTTGACTTATGGTAGTGTGTGATAGAAAAAGGCAGGTGTGCCATCTGGCCGAGGTGTGTACCGTTGAGCTGAGGTGCTGGGCCCAGTGTATGGGCAGGGCTGGTTGAAGGCCATGTTTCTCTCCAGCTCGCAGGGTGCTTAGTCCATGTTGAACAGTCATCCTCAGTTTGGCTGACATGCCAGGCCTAAAAAACAAAACAACAACAGAGTATTATACATACTAGGACTGCAGACAGAACCAGAACCATAGTCATGTTAACCACAGAGCCATCAATCAGCTTGACTTCTCCATCTTGGGCCTTTACATTTTAACACTCAACATATTATATCAGTGATCAGTTCATGTGAGGGATTGGGGAATAGTGCCTGGGTAACTTTTACAGAGCTTGTTTGGGTAGTAAAACACTTGATTTCAGCCATCTATCATACAAGTATAGAGATGAACCCGTAGTGACTCACGCAGCTCGTTTATGTATGAGGCTGTAGACGGCGTCCCACCAGTCCCTCTGTCTGTCTGTGGAAAGGAAGCGGAGGAGGGGCAGGGGCAGGCAGCGGGGCTCATTGAGTTGCTGTTGACCAGTAGAACTGATCCTGGCCCTCTCCTGGAGCTGGGTGTGACTGCACCACACCACCCCACACAGGAACACCTAGAGAGGAGAGAATCACACCAGTGTATTGCATTAGTTCTTAGAGCATTCAAGGTCATTGTATGAATGAAAAATTAAGCAAAAAGACAATCAACGATATCATTCGAAGAACAGTATTACAAGATTGTTATACAGTTGAAGTCAGAAGTTTAAAACTTGTTTTTCAACCACTCCACAAATTTCTTGTTAACAATCTATAGTTTTGGCAAGTTGGTTAGGACATCTACTTTGTGCATGACACAAGTAATTTTTCCAACAATTGTTTACAGAGATTATTTCACTGTATCACAATTCCAGTGGGTCAGAAGTTTACATACACTAAGTTGACTGTGCCTTTAAACAGCTTGGTAAATTCCAGAAAATGTCATGGCTTTATAAGATTCTGATAGGCTAATTGACATCATTTGAGTAAATTGGAGGTGTACCTGTGGATGTATTTCAAGGCCTACCTTCAAACTCAGTGCCTCTTTGCTTGACATCATGGGAAAATCAAAAGAAATCAGCCAAGACCTCAGAAAAAAATGTGTAGACCTCCACAAGTCTGGTTCATCCTTGGGAGCAATTTCCAAACGCCTGAAGGTACCATGTTCATCTGTACAAACAATAGTACGCAAGTATAAACACCATGGGACCACGCAGCTGTCATACCGCTCAGGAAGGAGACGCGTTCTGTCTCCTAGAGATGAACGTACTTTGATGCGAAAAGTGCAAATCAATCCCAGAACAACAGCAAAGGACCTTATTATTATTATTATTATTATAATACGCCATTTAGCAGACGCTTTTATCCAAAGCGACTTACAGTCATGCGTGCATACATTTTTGTGTATGGGTGGTCCCGGGGATCGAACCCACTACCTTGGCGTTACAAGCGCCGTGCTCTACCAGCTGAGCTACAGAGGACCACCTTGTGAAGATGCTGGAGGAAACGGGTACAAAAGTATCTATATCCACAGTAAAACGAGTCCTATATCGACATAACCAGAAAGGCCGCTCATTAAGGAAGAAGCCACTGCTCCAAAACCGCCATAAAAAGCCAGACTACGGTTTGCAACTGCACATGGGGATAAAGATCGTACTTTTTGGAGAAATGTCCTCTGGTCTGATGAAACAAAAATAGAACTGTTCGGCCATAATGACCATCGTTATGTTTGGAGGAAAAAGGGGATGGCTTGCAAGCCGAAGAACACCAACGCAACCGTGAAGCACGGGGGTGGCAGCATCATGCTGTGGGGGTGCTTTGCTGCAGGAGGGACTGGTGCACTTCACAAAATAGATGGCATCATGAGGAAGGAAAATTATGTGGATATATTGAAGCAACATCTCAAGACATCAGTCAGGAAGTTAAAACTTGGTCGCAAATGGGTCTTCCAAGTGGACAATGACCCCAAGCATACTTCCAAAGTTGTGGCAAAAAGGGCTTAAGGACAACAAAGTCAAGGTATTGGAGTGGCCATCACAAAGCCCTGACCACAAAGCCCTGACCGCAATCCTATAAAAAAACGTGTGGGCAGAACTGAAAGTGTGTGCGAGCAAGGAGGCCTACAAACCTGACTCAGTTACACCAGCTCTGTCAGGAGGAATGGGCCAAAATTCACCCAACTTATTGTGGAAAGCTACCGGAAAACGTTTGACCCAAGTTAAACAATGCTACCAAATATTAATTGAGTGTATATAAACTTCTGACCCACTGGGAATGTGATGAAAGAAATAAGCTGAAATAAATCACTATTATTCTGACATTTCACATTCTTAAAATAAAGTGGTGATCCTAACTGACCTAAAACAGGAAATATTTTACTAGGATTAAATGTCAGGAATTGTGAAAAACTGAGTTTAAATGTATTTGGCTAAGGTGTATGTAAACTTCCGACTTCAACTGTAAGTCTGTAACAGAGCTGCATAGATATTGTAGAGCAACCCCGGCCACACCCACCTCCAGGTCTAGCAGGCAGATGGACTCAGGTGTGTTGGTGTCCAGTTTGGAGGTCTCCAGGATGAGCCTGGGGAACAGCTGTTTGAGCCAGTCCCTCAGAGCAGGCCTCTGGGCCAGGAGAGACCACTGGAGGCCCAGCCAACACAGCTGCTGGAGGTCCCCTCCTTGGAGCTGGATGGAGCCTAGAGACAGGAGAGGAACAGGGTTACACAGGGAACTTGTGTGAGATCAGCTCGTCTCCTCTTGTGTAGAGCTACACACATCATACCGTTGTCCCATTTGATGAGGTCAGATATTGCTGGAGCCTGTGTGTTGATGGAGCGGATGTCGTCGTTGCCAATGAAGGAAGTCCCAGCCGGAGCCTGAAGCCCAAACAAAAGCTCAAACAAAGAGCCCTGACCACTACGGTTACCAAACGCCTCCACCACCTCTCTGACAAAGGTATGTGTGTCAGGGTTGAGGTTAAGCAGCATGTGTCCAGCCTGGCTCTGTCTGTCACTGGCTAGCAGCTCCAGATGCTGAGGAGGAGACTGGTCCCCTTTAGTCACCTTGCTCTTCGGCCTGGGGACCTAAATAGGAAGAATGAAAAGAAGTTGGATACAACATGAAAGACAGTCATTTGCTAAATACAAAGCTTCTAGTTTGTGTGCGTTACCTGGTAAGCCAGTAAATAGCAGAGAGCAGCCAGGTCAATGACAGCCCTCCACTGCTCTTTTCTTTCCTGAGCCATCTTCAGCAGCAGAGTGCCAGCATGCAGGTACAGATGTCCCCTCATCTCCACATAGACCCCAGATAGATCATCGGTTACACTGCACGCTGTCTTCTTCAGGCCCTGCATCGCACAGTCAAAACTACACAGAGAGAGACAGGTGTTAAATAAGGTACAAACACTGCTACTAATCTAGTAGGACTCTACAGAGTGATGCTCTAATGCAGGAGCTCTGTTGGTAGGCTAAGAATGGATTAACTACAGCCAAGTGTCCAGCAGTCACGTTTCACTGCCTAGCCTGGTTCTGACAAACACGCACCTCCCGAGGGCCTTGATGCTAGGCTGCAGTCCTTTTCCCGACAGGGTCAGTCTCAGCAGGCTGCAGTGGGCCAAAAGTAGCTCTCTCTGCAAAGGTCTACTCGTCTTCTCATTGGATGAAACACTGGGCTGGGCTAGGAACTCCTGAGAAACACACCAAATTAAGCACTTTACCATTGTACATGTAATTCCATAAGTGTATATTGTATTGTGTGAGCATCCTGCTGACCTGTAGAGTGTGTACTACAGTAGAGTACCAGTCCAAGCTGGATTTAAGCAGGCCTCTCTTCTCTGTGGCCAGACAGTGTTTGACAGCCTCCTCCAGCCTGCCATCAGAAGAGAACAGCTGAACCAGCTTTACATTGATATGGGCATCGCCAGGTCGCATAGCCAGCTCTGCCTGCAGCAGGTCAAACAACTGGTTCCATCCCTGCTGGCCCTGTCGATTCAGTAGACGCTCCTATAGGGGGTAGAGGGAGAGTTAGCCAGGATTGTTAAACAACAGATTTTTTTTAAATAGCCGTTTCTAGCCCCCGGAACCCGTCTGTTGCTCAACAACTGTTCCTGAGGGGGGAGAAAGAGGTTGAGGAGGGCAACAGCTGCCAGCTCAACAGGCGGCTAGTGATCTTGGGTCAACCCTGTGCCACAGTTTGTAAACAATCCTCCAGTCATAATGCAGGCAGACTAACCTTGACACACTATTTCAGGTTAGGCACACCCTTTAAAAAAAGCCTAAAAAGCTACATACAGGAAATCAATACTGTGTTAGAGCTCTTACCTTGAGGTTGAAGACAGCAGGGTTTCCTGGCAGCAACTTGGCAGCTTTCTCCACCCAGAACTCTGCTCTGCTGTCTCGCTCTGTCTTACCGACCAGCAGCTCAGCCACCTTCAAAACCAGGTCCCTCTGGGCTGGGTTCAGGTCCACAGACCGCTGGACACACACACACATAATTAAAGACCTGAAACCATCTTTACATTGTCAGTTAGGTTTGCAATTGGCGATCACAGCTAACTGGCAAAGCTGTTTCCCCCCCCTTTTTTAGGGGGTAGATCAGCTTTAATATTACAGATAGATTATGGCTTCTATCAATGTAATTGTCTGCATCATTTCCAATCCCCCATATATTTAGCTGTTTCTTCAAAAATGAATCAATTATACAAAACTGGATGACTGACGAAGCCTAATGGACAGACTAATCGGATACTATAACATTACTAAGTAAGTGAGCAACTGAGAGGGATATCATCTTACCTTGTAACATCCTACTGCCTTGTTGATATCTCCTTCCCTCTCATAAAGCTGGCCCAGGAACTTGTGTGCTTTGGGATCTCTCTCGGCCACAGTCAGATATGCCGATACATGTCTAAAAGTGGGGACCATACATTCGGAATAAACACACAAAATATGTAGCTACCCACTTCAATATGTCTACGTGTTCAGGGCGTACCTTTTAGCAAGTTCATACTCCTTAGCCTCGAAGTATAATTTAGCAAATAAAAATCCTTTAATTGGTTTCTGTGGAAAGAGAACATATATAGGCCAAGTTTAAAATAAGGTTAGACTCATAGTTATAACAGCTAGTTAGCTAACCACTGAAGTAAGACACGGTTACCTATTGTATGTTAAAGTTACCTAAACTTAGGTAGCTAACTAAATTAGTTGCCTAATAAATCAGACAGTCGTACCAGCTTTCTGGAAATTCCACAAGCTAGTTAATTAAGTTAATTAACTGAATCCATTCAAATATAAATTTCTAGCTAGCTAGGTACAAATGTCAAAAAAGGCGATTATGGCTATTTTCCAACGGATCGTAGGAAGAGTGACACACAACTAACTAACTAACTACTTAGCCGGTATGATCGTTTGCTAGGTAGTTAAACTAGCCGGCATAATGCAGGCTGAGGGCATGCGATGTTTCAAAAGATAGCCAGTCCTGCTGCCCGCGCGTTTTTCACACAAGGAAGTGTTCATTGCGAGGGATTAACTTCAGAAGTGTCACATTTCCCAACCTAGTTAGTTAGCTACGTTAGCGATCCAAAATGAAGGATCCGTTAACTACTTGTCGTTGTTCAGATTTAGTCTATTGCTAGTCTGTGGCTAGCTAGTTACTTCAATGCTTGCTGTATTGCTATCTATCATACCAGGCCATGATGGCCGCTAGCTAATACACGCAGGATGAATTGAAGCCGGTTGGACTCACCTCTTTGAGTGAAGGAGAGGAACTCTGTACTGAAGAAATATAGCGTTCCACTTCGGCCTTACTTCGCCGCATGGCTGTGTAAAGAGTATTTTCTTGTTATTTCAAAACTGGAATTTCACCGAATGACAAAACTGCTTTTTCTCCACTCGTGCCATGAAAACATCAAATGGCAGCCGTACTTACGTTGTGCAAAGCTTCCATGAACCACGAGTTGTGATTGGTAGAGACTTAGCCAATCAAATTTGAAAAACCCACAGATGACGCACTTTCAATTTAGATTGGACGCTGTACAGAAAAAATAATATACTGTATGTGTACTAGCCGAAGGCTGGTTCAGTTTCTTGAATAAAAATACAATAGCCCATACCTCATTAGAGAAAATATGCAATCTGTTTTTGTTATTGCACAAACATAATCGAGTTAGTATTACTGTAGGATCTCATGTGATGGTCAATATTTGATTTATCATGCCTTCAGACATTCAGGTTCCCTGAAATTAAGAAAATACTACTTTTAAAAAAAAACATCAAAATGCACAGAGAAACATGTAGCTGGATTTTGTAAAATTCAGAAGTAAATAAGTTGAATATAATGACATCTAGAAACAAACCAAAATGAAAGTATCATGCATTTAAGGCGAACACTAATCAAGGCTTTGAATGTAGCATAGCATATTATATTGTAGTATGGCAGAGGAATAACACAGGGTTTTAAAATTCCCATTTAGCAGTGGAATGTGTAATTGTATCACTCTATGCAAAACAACACACTGTAAAATATTTCTTCCACGTATAGTTAAATACGGTGGCAAACTAAAACTTAACTAAACTCATGTTTTCAACAGGGATATTATGCTTTTTTCTCTAACCGGCAGTTCTCTACTTCCTATGAGGATCTAGATAGAAGAAGTCACACTGCCATAAGAGGATAGGTTTACTAAACGTATACACCAAGGAAAAACCCACATTCCCACATCTTACAGTACTCATACATCCGCTTTCATCTATAGGAAAAGGAAAAATTAACATTGCAGTTACAAGCAAATCCTAAATCAATGGAATTGTTTGTATCTGCTATGTTTATTTTCCCCTTTTAAAAGACAACATAATGCATGACATATAAAGCATGGAGAAAAGTATTTCCAGATATTGTTTGATTCCATTACTGTTAGATAAAAGTGGGTTATGTTTATTCTGAAAATATTGTCAAAAACATACAAACATCTGTCATCCAACAGTTTACAAAACGCCCTTCAGTGACATAATGTCTTACATATTTACTGTCTGTGTGATAAAAGCACAAAGGAAATGAAACAATTGTGAAATAATATGAATAGAACAATATAACACCATGCACAATGTTGTGGACACAAAAAAAGCTCTATATGAGATATGCATACACGTGTCACCTTATTCTGTACTATTTTTGGATAATATTTCAATACATCCTGAAAAAGTTACACAAACCTCTGGTACAAATATTACTCTTATGTCTCTGTATGACCTCAACTGCTGGGATGGAGGCTACTCTCTCTCCCTCTCTCTCAAGAAGCTGCCAAGCAGATCTGGGTCAAATAGCACTGTACATACATCAGATACTTTCAAATACTTGACATGCTCTTGATTTAGCTTACCGGTATATAGGGTGGGAAGAGTTTGCAATTTTGGCATGTCAAGTATTTTGGTTCCGTTGTACCAAGCAAGAGAAATCAAACAGTCCTCAAGTATTTGACAGATTTAAATACATAATGTGTGTGTATATATATACACACACCACCATTCAAATGTTTGGGGTCCTTGTTTTCCATGAAAACATACATGAAATTAGTTTGAATAGGAAATATAGCAAAATGAATAGGAAATGTAGTCATTGACAAGGTTAGAAATAATGATTTTTAATTGAAATAATAATAGTGTCCTTCAAACGTTGCTTTCGTCAAATAATCCTCCATTTGCAGCAATTACAGCTTTGCAGACCTTTGGCATTCTAGTTGTCAATTTGTTGAGGTAATCTGAAGAGATTTCACCCCATTCTTCCTGAAGCACCTCCCACAAGTTGGATTGGCTTGATGGGCACTTCTTCCGTACCATACGGTCAAGCTGCTCACCCAACAGCTCAATAGGTTTGAGATCCGGTGACTGTGCTGGCCACTCCATTATAGACAGAATACCAGCTGACTGCCTCTTCCCTAAATAGTTATTGCATAGTTTGGAGCTGTGCTTTGGGTCATTGTCCTGTTGTAGGAGGAAATTGGCTCCAATCAAGCGCCTTCCACAGGGTATGGCATGGCGTTGCAAAATGGAGTGATAGCTTTCCTTCTTCAAGATCCCTTTTACCCTGTACAAATCTTCCACTTTACCACCACCAAAGCACCCCCAGACCATCACATTGCCTTCACCATGCTTGACAGATGGCATCAAGCACTCCTCCAGAATCTTTTCATTTGGTCTGCGTCTCACAAATGTTCTTCTTTGTGATCCGAACACCTCAAACTTCGATTCATCTGTCCATAACAATTTTTTCCAATCTTCCTCTGTACAGTCTGTGTTCTTTTGCCCATCTTAATCTTTTCTTTTTATTGGTCAGTCTGAGATATGGCTTTTTCTTCGCAACTCTGCCTAGAAGGTCACCATCCCGGAGTCGCCTCTTCACTGTTGACGTTGAGACTGGTGTTTTGCGGGTACTATTTAATGAACCTGGCAGTTGAGGACCTGTGAGGCGTCTGTTTCTCAAACTAGACACTCTAATGTATTTGTCCTCTTGTTCAGTTGTGCACCGGGGCCTCCCACTCCTCTTTCTATTCTGGTTAGAGCCAGTTTGCGCTGTTCTGTGAAGGGAGTAGTACACAGCGTTGTACGAGATCTTCAGTTTCTTGGCAATTTCTCACATGGAATAGCCTTCATTTCTCAGAACAAGAATAGACTGATGAGTTTCAGAAGAAAGTTCTTAGTTTCTGGCCATTTTGAGCCTGTAATCAAACCCACAATTGCTGATGCTCCAGATACTCAACTAGTCTCAAGAAGGCCAGTTTTATTGCTTCTTTAATCAGCACAACAGTTTTCAGCTGTGCTAACATAATTGCAAAAGGGTTTTCTAATGATCAATTAGCCTTATAAAATGATCAACTTGGATTAGCAAACACAACGTGCCATTGGAACACAGGACTGATGGTTGCTGATAATGGGCCCTTTCGAAAACAAGGACATTCTATGTGACCCCAAACCTTTGAACGGTAGTGTACATATACATACACACACACTACTTGTCAAAGGTTTTACACCTCCTAATCATTCAAGGGTTTTTCTTTATTTTTACTATTTTCTACATTGTAGAATAATAGTGAAGACATCAAAACTATGAAATAACACATGGAATCATGTAGTAACCAAAAACGTGTTAAACAAATCAAATAATATTTTATATTTGAGATTCTTCCAATAGCCACCCTTTGCTTTGATGAGAGCTTTGCACACTCTTGGCATTCTCTCAACCAGCTTCATGAGGTAGTCTCCTGGAATGCATTTCAATTAACAGGTGTGCCTTGTTAAAAGTTAATTTGTGGAATTTCTTTCATTCTTAATGCGTTTGAGCCAATCAGTTGTGTTGTGACAAGGTAGGGGGGGTATACAGAAGATAGACCTATTTGGTAAAAGACCAAGTCCATATTATGGCAAGAACAGCTCAAATAAGCAAAAATAAACGACAGTCCATCATTACTTTAAGACATGAAGGTCAGTCAATATGGAAAATGTCAAGAACTTTGAAAGTTTCTTCAAGTGCAGTCACAAAAAACATCAAGTGCTATGATGAAGCTGGTTCTCATGAGGACCGCCACAGGAATTGAAGACCCAGAGTTCCCTCTGCTGCAAAGGATAAGTTCATTAGAGTTACCAGCCTCAGAAATTGCAGCCCATATAAATGCTTCACAGAGTTCAAGTAAGAGACACATCACAACATCAACTGTTCAGAGGGGCTGTGTGAATCAGGCCTTCATGATCGAATTGCTGCAAAGAAACCACTACTAAAGGCCACCAATAAGAAGAAGAGACTTGCTTGGGCCAAGAAACACGAGCAATAGACATTAGATCGGTGGACATTTGTCCTTTGGAGTCCAAATTGGAGAGTTTTGGTTCCAACCGTCATGTCTTTGTGAAACACGGTGTGGGTGAACGGATGATCTCTGCATGTGTATTTCCCACCGTAAAGCATGGAGGAGGAGGTGTTATGGTGCTTTGCTGGTGACACTCTCTGTGATATTTTTAGAATTCAAGGCACACTTAACCAGCATGGCTACCACAGCATTCTGCAGCGATACACCATCCCATCTGGGTTTGGGCTTAGTGGAACTATAATTTGTTTTTCAACAGGACAATGACCGAACACACCTCCAGGCTGTGTAAGGGCTATTTGACCAAGAAGGAGAGTAATGGAGTGCTGCATCAGATGACCTGGCCTCCACAATTCCCAGACCCCAACCCAATTGAGATGGTTTGGGATGAGTCGGACCACAGAGTGAAGGAATAGCAGCCAAGAAGTGCTCAGCATATTTGGGAACTCCTTCAAGACCGTTGGAAAAGCATTCCAGGTGAAGCTGGTTGAGAGAATGCCAAGAGTGTGCAAAGCTGTCATCAAGGCAAAGGGTGGCTATTTGAAGAATCTCAAATATAAAATTTGTTTAACACTTTTTTGGTTACTACGTGATTCCATATGTGTTATTTCATAGTATTGATGTCTTCACTATTATTCTACAATGTAGAAAATAGTAAAAATAAAGAAAAACCCTTGAATGAGTAGGCGTTCTAAAACTTTTGAATGGTAGTGTATATCACAGGAGGTTGGTGACACCTTAATTGGGGAAAACGGGCTTGTGGTAATGGCTGGTGCGGAATAGGTGGAATGGTATCAAATACATTAAACACATGGTTTCAATGTGTTTGATGCCATTCCATTTGCTCAGTCCAGCCATTATTAGAGCCGTCCTCCCCTCAGCAGCCTCCACATACATATATACATATACATATACAGTGGGGGAAAAAAGTATTTAGTCAGCCACCAATTGTGGTGGAAAATAAGTATTTGGTCAATAACAAAAGTTTCTCAATACTTTGTTATATACCCTTTGTTGGCAATGACACAGGTCAAACGTTTTCTGTAAGTCTTCACAAGGTTTTCACACACTGTTGCTGGTATTTTGGCCCATTCCTCCAGGCCCATCCATTCTCCTCTAGAGCAGTGATGTTTTGGGGCTGTCGCTGGGCAACATGGACTTTCAACTCCCTCCAAAGATTTTCTATGTGGTTGAGATCTGGAGACTGGCTAGGCCACTCCAGGACCTTGAAATGCTTCTTACGAAGCCACTCCTTCGTTGCCCGGGCGGTGTGTTTGGGATCATTGTCATGCTGAAAGACCCAGCCACGTTTCATCTTCAATGCCCTTGCTGATGGAAGGAGGTTTTCACTCAAAATCTCACGATACATGGCCCCATTCATTCTTTCCTTTACATGGATCAGTCGTCCTGGTCCCTTTGCAGAAAAACAGCCCCAAAGCATGATGTTTCCACCCCCATGCTTCACAGTTGGTATGGTGTTCTTTGGATGCAACTCAGCATTCTTTGTCCTCCAAACACGACGAGTTGAGTTTTTACCAAAAAGTTACATTTTGGTTTCATCTGACCATATGACATTCTCCCAATCCTCTTCTGGATCATCCAAATGCACTCTAGCAAACTTCAGACGGGCCTGGACATGTACTGGCTTAAGCAGGGGGACACGTCTTGCACTGCAGGATTTGAGTCCCTGGCGGCGTAGTGTGTTACTGATGGTAGGCTTTGTTACTTTGGTCCCAGCTCTCTGCAGGTCATTCACTAGGTCCCCCCGTGTGGTTCTGGGATTTTTGCTCACCGTTCTTGTGATCATTTTGACCCCACGGGGTGAGATCTTGCATGGAGCCCCAGATCGAGGGAGATTATCAGTGGTCTTGTATGTCTTCCATTTCCTAATAATTGCTCCCACAGTTGATTTCTTCAAACCAAGCTGCTTACCTATTGCAGATTCAGTCTTCCCAGCCTGGTGCAGGTCTACAATTTTGTTTCTGGTGTCCTTTGACAGCTCTTTGGTCTTGGCCATAGTGGAGTTTGGAGTGTGACTGTTTGAGGTTGTGGACAGGTGTCTTTTATACTGATAACAAGTTCAAACAGGTGCCATTAATACAGGTAACGAGTGGAGGACAGAGGAGCCTCTTAAAGAAGAAGTTACAGGTCTGTGAGAGCCAGAAATCTTGCTTGTTTGTAGGTGACCAAATACTTATTTTCCACCATAATTTGCAAATAAATTCATTAAAAATCCTACAATGTGATTTTCTGGAATTTTTTTCCTCAATTTGTCTATCATAGTTGACGTGTACCTATGATGAAAATTACAGGCCTCTCATCTTTTTAAGTGGGAGAACTTGCACAATTGGTGGCTGACTAAATACTTTTTTCCCCCACTGTACACATATGTATATGTATATATGTGTGTGTATATATATATATATATATACATACATATTCACATATACACACACACACACACACACACATATATATACATACACATACATATACATACACATATATATATATATATATATACATACATATATACACATACATATACATATATAGTACACACACACACACACACACATACATATTCGACCCAGTTCTGCTGCACAGTAATGTGGTTGTGAGTAGCATCAGTAACATAGCCCAGGTGTCTGTCTGTTTCTACTTGTTTCGCATGACAATGATAAAGTAGTTGGCTAAGGCAGAAACAGACCAGCACAGTGGCAGTAACAACCTTATTAATACTCTTTATTCATATGATGAAATACCAGGACACTGATGCATACTTAAATAAGTTGGGTTTTGAAGTGACATTTTAAGCTAAAATAACAATTAAATATATGAGATACGCATCTCAAGGATAAATATTAATCTAATATGAATATGTCTTTAGACAAAAGCACTGATTTGGGGAGGACCCTTCTTTGTGTACAGTCTGTCTCTCTGCTCATGGGTTGCCACTATTTGGCCAAGCATGAAAAGATTGAAGGAAACTGCAAATGTGATTTTCATCAACATAACCTTAACCCTAATCCCTAAACTTACACCAAGAACAAATAGCTCATGTGGTTGCTCAAACATTCTGATGATATCACTTTTGTCCGTTCTAGCTTGGCCATCTAGTGACTATAGGCTTCCTGTCTGTCTGTGTCTGTGTCTGTGTCTGTGTCTGTGTCTGTGTCTGTGTCTGTGTCTGTGTCTGTCTACTTCCGGCCCACGGTCTCCGCCAGCTTCTTCAGCCTCTTCTTAAGTTCCAGAGGAAACTTCTCGTAACACTTCTTACACACCGGCTTCATGTCAAACTCCACAAACTTGTTCCTGTAAGGCAGAGTCAAAGATACTGTATGAGCAGGGTTCTGACTTTCATTCATCTATATCAAGAGTCCTACACTCAAGCACTACTTTCCCTCCTGCTTCCTCTCTTTCCCTCCTGCACCCTCTCTTTCCCTCCTGCTCCCTCTCCCCCACTCCATCTCTCCCTCATGTTCTTTCCCCCTCTCCCTCCTGCTCCTGGAAAGAGGTCCTTTGAGCATATTCAACTCTACAGTGTTTAGGCTTTAGCAGCGAGAGCACATGTGAAACACATTGGGGCCTGTAAAAATCAGACAGCCAGTCACACAGCCAACCATCCAGTACACAGAGACAGGAAAGGATTAGTGTTTTAACCATAAACAAACCAGGAACTGGTGAACAAAGCCTTCTCTTTACACTGATCTGAGGAAATACACACTACCGTACTGTACATGCCTCTAGCCTCAACCAACTGATCAGAGAGAACTTCTGGTCGGATTATTACAGAGTTACGTTATTATGTTAAGCCAAGAGTGTGTCTGGCTGAGAAATGGCCATATAGAGTAACCATTTCCTGCAGAGTTTCTAAATATGGTCAACACTGCACGGGAAACCGGCACTGATGCAAAGAACAGCTTAGGCGATTTTACAAACCTGTACCGGTAATTATTTATGATCTGTAGCTAATCTCTACTTCTCTTGATTATTCTTACTCTAAAACTGATCAATTACAGTGATGGTGAATGTGAAGTAATCAAAAATGAATGACTCAAAGTTTATGTTTAACACATATTTGATCTCTGTGTCTAAAACCCTCTTAACTGACTTGTCAGAATGGACGGATGAAAAATAGATAGGAAACACGAAACCATGAAAGTAAAATCACAACACAGGAAAAAGAGAATGAAAGGAGATGAAAACTAACCAATGAATGGAAAGTGGAAGTGAGGAGAAAGGAAGGACAGAGGTTTACAGACACATGGGCATTTTCTTCTTCTTTTCTTTTTCTTGTTTGGCAAGACGACGCTTCATGTCATCTGGCAGGTGCTCGTAGCAGTGTTTACACACAGGCTTCAGATCCACCTCTACAAACTTATCCCTGGTAGGACCAGGAGGGAGGAGAAGGAGAGAGGAGGTAGGAGGAGAAGAGGAGAGAGGAGGGAGGAGGAGAAGAGGAGAGAGGAGGGAGGATATGGACAGACAAACAGGGACAAGTGAAACAGAGGGACAGAGAGAATATAGGATGACACAGGTAGATGGAAAAGCTACAGGTACAGTGGAACACATATTGTAGAGACAGATGATAGAGACAGAAGAGGACAGTGCTAATGCTTCAGAAACCCTAGTCTCAAAGATAGTCTAAAACCATGTAAGACAATGTGGGAACACAGGATGTTTTTGTTGTGTTAACGCAGTCAGCCTGACTTACTTTAGGGTGAGCTTGGTGTTGCAGGTGGAGCAGGCGAAGCAGTTGACACACCATGCCTTGTTCAGGGCTGACACCACTGGAACACACAACACAAACACGCATTTCATAACAAGTAATGTATACACTAATATGACATACAATATGTGTTTAATATGACGATATTAGATTATGTAATATAATATCCTACCATCACCCTCAATGACACGGTTGCAGTGATAGCAGACATCTCCAAAGAGCTGTAGGAGAGGAGAGGAGTCAAGAGCCTCAAAATTCACTTGTTTACAAATGACAATTTCTTTACTGTATTTTTCAAAACAACCATGCAATTTACTTCACAATGTCCACAGTATTTTGTTGCATCAGCACCAATAATATAGAGATAAATACTATACATCTACCACTAGATGGCCCCATAAAACTAAACAAGAATGGAGGTCTCACATTATATACAGCAAGACGCAATCATTCTCTTCAGGCTCATATTCATGTTACATTTTACATTTTAGTCATTTAGCAGACGCTCTTATCCAGAGCGTCTTACAGTTAGTGAGTGCATACATTATAATTTTTTTTCATACTGGCCCCCCGTCGGAATCAAACCCACAACCCTGGCGTTGCAAACGCCATGCTCTACCAACTGAGCTACATCCCTGCCGGCCATTCCCTCCCCTCCACTGGACGACGCCAATTGTGCGCCGTCCCATGGGTCTCCCGGTCGCAGCCGGCTACGACAGAGCCTGGATTCGAACCAGGATCTCTAGTGGCACAGCTAGCACTGCGATGCAGTGCCTTAGACCACTGCGCCACTCAGGAGGTTAATTATTTATGTTCAAAGATTTGTTCAAAGATAAATAGAATAAGGTGCCTGGATTGGATTAAGTTACTGAGTAGAGATGTGATTGTGTGACTTCTCTTCCCTTGGGCTGTGTGTGCAGCCTTCCCCTACGTTACCTGGTTGTAGTGAGTCTCACAGTAGGCCAGTCCTTTGCGTTCGTAGTGGCGATGGCCCAGGAAGGGTTTCTCACACTTAGCACACACAAAATGCTGCAAACACACACACAACATGGCCCCACACAACAGGTTAGTACAGACAGAACAGCACAGGTCAGTTCAATCCAGTTCCGTCTAGCTCAGTTCAGACCAATCCAGTCTAGTCTAGTCTGAGATTAGTGGGTTCAGAGGGCAGCAGCAGGGCAGGAGCGCACCCCTGTGAAGCACTCACCCCTACAGACAGACAGACAGGAGCCTTGTGTGTCTGTGAGGGAGATTCCACCAGGGGGCAGAATGGAGCACAGACACAGAGCAGGACAGGATGCAGCCAGCACAGGTCTCCTCTCAGTCTCTAACTAACCCCTCACCATGTTAAAGTGTTTTTCACAGTAGGCATGGTCCCCACGCTCATAATACAGGTGGCCGTGAAACGGACGTTCACACAGAGCACACACATGGTGCTGCAGGAGGGAGGGAGGAGAGGAGTAGGAAGAGGATGGGAGAGGAGTGATAGCAAGTAGGAGAAAAGTAGAGAGGAAAGAAGGCAGCAGAGATATGAACAGAGGGGTGGCAGAGGGAAAGAAAGAGGAAGGATGTCCTTCATTCTGAGATAATCCAAACATGGCCACAGAGATGATATGAGAGCAGGGTAGAAACACCACAGAGGAGGCTAGAATAACATTCATTACACATACAAACTCCCTTGAATACATTTCTACTTTGATGTTCTGAGGAATTATAGTTATTCAGAGACAATGACAGACATAAAGCAGTGTATATCGAAGATAATAAAGTATTCTGCTTTAAAAAAAAAAAAAAAAAAAAAAAAAAAAAGTATTCTGCTTTGAAATAATCATGTCATGTTACAAAATACTATAATCATATACAATACATTTCTATCTGAATGATCTGTTCCATAACGTTGCAACCTCCTGAACAGTAGTGATGTGCTCTTCGTGAACGATTTGTTCTTTTTAAACTATTTGTACTGACTGGAGAGTGATGATTCATTTTTCAGAGTAAATCGTTCATTTGTCATTCGTTTGACCTGCTGGCCGCAATGACTCCTACAGCAGGATTGATACACACTCCTCCGGTTCTGCGACTCCAGAGATGTGCTCCGACCTACAACTGTCTATCATGTGCGTGCAGGAAAATAGATCATGCTGCAGGCAGCATAGAGAAGAAAAAGGCATGTTTAGAACTGATAATTGATCGCATAGTGCAAGAATTAATGCAATACATTGATTATTGAATGTTATGATGGTCACAGCTTTGTAAACATACACAGCCTGCCTCTGCTCAACAACTCAAACTCGAGAATGAATCGTTCGAGGGGCTGCTGCAGTACGGGAATGATATTGTGCCCATCTCCCTCGCGCACTCAATAATTGCCTTCCGTCAAGTGTCGTTCACAATATAGTCCGGTTGCGGCTTGTAGAATCATGATTCTCATTTGAGTTTTCAATTCATCGTTCGCCGGTAGGGGGTCCTGCATGGTCTGGGCATTACTGAATCAAATGAATGAAATGAGTCGAAAGATTTGTTCTTATAACGAGTTGAAAAGATCAGAGTCAGTATAAAGAGCCGAACTTCCCATCACTACTGAACAGGTCCATATTGTATAAGTGATGTCATCATACCTCAACGTGCCACTGCTTGCCCATGGCATTGACCACACGGCCCTCGATGGGTCTCCTGCAGGCGCCACAGATGGGAACACCCATCTTGTCATGGCAGGGCAGGCAGTACAGCTCTCCCTTCAGCTCCCTGGCATCAGCCGTCAGCTCCTTACTACAGGGGGAGAGGAGGGACCATTACATCATAACTAACTCCATCACTCTTTTCCATCGTTTTGGAGAACATTAATATTGTGTTAGCTAGCTCAGTTTTGAATACTGACAGTGATCAATCAATTCATGTTAGTGACCTGAGACACCAGGTTACCCAGATAGAATAGCTAAACTAAAGACTAAAAGCAAGTGATAAAATCTAAAACCAGTAGATATTGCAGCCCCTGAGTAATGGAGTAGTGAAGAACTGTAACAGCGGAATGCTGCTGACCACACCTCTCTTCTCGATCTGTGATATTCAATGTGTTAGTATGAGTCATCACTGAGTCAGCTCCTTGCCTAATCTGGTGTTCCCTGATGTGTGTGTGTGTGTGCAAATGTGTGTGTGTGTGTTTTTGGATGTGTGTCTGTGTGGGATGCTGGCTAAGCTTGTTTTGTTTAGCATCCTGCCAACAGTGTGCCCCTCTGTGCTTCCTGGTCTTGGTGAGTTCTACCTTATTAGGGGATAATAAGTGCACTGTATTCAAAACACAAACACACACCCAGTGTCAGTGATGCATAGGGGAATGAGTCGCCTGCACTGACTTCCTGACTGAATATTCATTATCACAACCTCTGCCTCAAGCATGGGACAGGCTGACAACTGTAGGTTTGTTTAAGAACAGACAGTCTTACAGGAAAGGTTTGGTTAGATTGGAGGTGCCTCTCAACTGCCATCTAAAAGAGCTACTCAGATAATCATTCTTCTATCGTCACTCACTCTCTCCCTGATATCTTCCTCTTCCACCTCCTACCTCTGCTCTCTTCCTCCTCCTCCCTCTCTCCCTGAGCTTCCTCCCTCTCTTTTCTCCTTTGGCTGACTTGTACAGGGGTAAACTCTAGTGAACCCAACCCTGAGGAGGCCCACCCTGCTACAGAGAACAAACCCTGTCTATAACAGCTCTTCAGTTTCAACCACTGACAGGCTACAGTACGTGTATAGGTTGCATAGAGGTTAGTGTAAAAGTTGTGTTTATACTAGGTTGTGTAGAAGTTGAGTAAAGATATGTTAGTGGTTGTATACAGACCACTAGGTTTGTGTAACGGGTGTGTTAAGTTTGTGTGGTGATTTAGCAGTGGTTGTGTTTAGGTTGTATGCAGGTTGTATAAATATAGTGTTTCGGTTGTGTAGTGGTTGTATATAAAGTTTGCGGAGTTGTTTCCAGTGGTGTAAAGTACTTAAGTAAAAATACTTTAAAGTACTACTTAAGTCATTTTTTGGTGTATCTGTACTTTACTTTACCATTGATATTTTTGACAACTTTTACTTCACTACATTCCTAAAGAAAATAATGCGCTTTTTACTTCATACATTTTCCCTGACACTCAAAAGCACTCGTTACATTTTGAATGCTTAGCAGGACAGGAAAATTGTCCAATTCACGCACTTATCAAGAGAACATCCCTGGTCATCCCTACTGCCTCTGATCTGGCAGACTCACTAAACACACATGCTTCCTTTGTAAATGATGTCTGAGTGTTGGAGTGTGCCCCTGGCTAGCCGTAAATTTAAAACAACAAGAGAATTGTGCCATCTGGTTTGCTTAATATAAGGAATTTGAAATAATTTATACTTTTACTTTTATGCTTAAATATATTTGAGCAATTACATTTACTTTTGATACTTAAGTATATTTAAAACCAAATACTTTTAGACTTTTACTCAAGTAGTATTTTACTGGGTGTCTTTCACTTTTACTTGAGTCATTTTCTATGAAGGTATCTTTACTTTTACTCAAGTATGACAATTGGGTACTTTTTCCACCACTGGTTGTTTCTATATTGTTTGCATGTGTACCCGCAGTTGTTGCAGTTGAAGTGATCGGGGTGGTAGGGGTCGTTCTTGAACAGCAGCGGCTGCTCCTCAATGATGGCGTGACACTTCTGACAGATGTACTTCCCCAGACCACGGGCCTTCTCACGGTTATGACACGGGCGACACAGGTGTCTGAGGGAGAGAGATACATGTTAATAAAGAATGAGATCAGCCTGACCCAGAGGCTGAAATAATGTTGCTACATTCAGTGGCGTATTCATGGATGCCAAGGGAAGCCAGGCTTCCTCAAGAAATGGACAAATAAATAAATAAAAAAAACTTGAAAATAATTTATCTTTCATCTCTCTGTGTCTCATAATTATCCTTCAATTCGCAGGAGACAATGTATCTCACCAGAGAAGGCATCCGAGCGAGCGAAACAGCGCCCCTCTGTCTCTGTATGTGTAGGCCATCTATCTGATGCTGTCTGGTCCTAAAGAGTATGACATTGTTGCCGCCCAAAGCGAGCACTCGGCCTCCCTTGATAAAAAATAAATAGAATAATAGCCAATCAGCGTTGAGCTAAACTGAGTGAGCTCAACTGTGAATGGTGCTGGCGGACCAAAAAAAGTGTCAAGGGAAGCTAGTTTGGATTTGGCTTCACACCAATCACATCGCATCGAAGGCATACGTCACTGACAGAAACTCGTTGTGCATCTCGTTGTGTTGTTGTCCTCCGGTGGCTAGCTAGGTAAAATTGGCCCTTTCCTAAATTAGCCATGTACGGAGATAGGAATTTCGACTTGTGGTTTTACTTAATTCTCTGTACTGGCCAATGATTATAATAGCAATTCTGATCCAAGCATAAATTCATACATTGTGCCCCTGGCCTGAGAGGATGGAAGTTCAATATGTTGCTATATGTAGAAGGCTAATGTTAACTAGCTAACTGTTGCCCATGAAAGGAAGTTAGGCTAGCGAGCAAGACTTTTAGCCAGGTAGCCTAGGACAACAAAAAAATGAAAGCGTGTACTGTATGACAGAGTGATAGACCGTTTAGAGAGGATGATGGCATTGGCGTTTCCCTACAAATAGGGTGAGTCAACATGTTTTTTTTACTTGCATGAATGCGCACGTACACACACACAGAAATCAGAACCATGGACAGCCACATCATATTTAGGTTACGTTGATTGGGCTAAATATTTTTTGGTATCTTTTAGTTGTCACGGTATTAGACTAAGCATAGGTGATTTGATGATGTTGAAATGTTGAAGATGAAATGGTGCTGGAATAGTGGAGGCAGCTCATGTTTTCTTTGCAACTTGCGGTAACTCTCTGTGGTTCTAAATCAATAGTTGTTTAGTGGTCTGAATATATCGGAAACATTAACTTACTTGACCATGCTGTAGGTCATGTAACTGTTTGTTACATGCAATATGCTTTGTGGACTTCACCGGACAGAGGTTGCTCTCCGGTTTTGTGATAAAACAAAGGTGTGGGTTGAATTTATTCTGCCACTGTGTCTTCTTATTGTCTCGGCCTTAGACCTATATATCACGGTCACAAGGCATATGAACTAAGAGGTTATAGAGCAAACAATGCAATTATCACAACACATAGGTTGCAATATGTCTTTTTTTTCTGGCTTGGCTTCTCCAGTGATTATACCCACGCACCGCTACTGGCTACATTAAAACTATTGTGGGGTGTAAACAGTGTGTGTGATTTCTCCTTGCTTTCTAAAAGCTATGAAGTGGAAAAGTTGCTGTCCCCCGGTGTTAGATCAGTAATGGCTGATCAGTGATCCAGCCCAGGTCTCTGGACTGACCTGCCGGCGTTCTTGACGAAGCCCACGTCAGCCAGCACGGCCTGGCAGAGGTCACAGCAGAAACAGTCAGGGTGCCAACTGTTGTTCATCGCCTTGATCACACGACCAATGATAAACTCCCCTGGGAGGAGGAAGAGAAGAAGGAAGTCAGGGACAACACACTGGCAAGACTATAACATCCCCCCTGCACACACATGTTAATGTTAGGGCCGGGACGATACCAGTATCGCAATACACGTTAGTATCTTGGCAAGGAAACAAAATATGAAGTGGATTTAATTTCTTTAGGAAAACAGCCCTAATGTTGGAAACAAACATCATTATGTTGTCATCCAGAGTCACATTCTGTTTTCCAAGCTAAAGCACACAATATTTTATATACAGCAGGTTTTTAAATGACCAAAGAGTTTGGTCTGCTTCGTGGGTCTGCTTCATGTTGTCTTTTTTGCCATGGAAAAACATATTGCAATACTGGTACCGTCCCGGCCCTAGTTAATATATATAGAGAAAAAACTCAAGCAAAAGCAATTGACGGTAGAAGTCTACACAGTTGTGTTTAGAGCTCAAGGTGAAGGAAGCAGGGTTAAAGGAGACCAAACATGACCTTCACACAACAAAACACTAAGATGTTTGCAGTTGAAGTCGGAAGTTTACATACTTAGGTTGGAGTCATTAAAACTCGTTTTTCAACCACTCCACAAATACATTTTCCCTGACACTCAAAAGTACTCGTTACATTTTGAATGCTTAGCATGACAGGAAAATGGTCCAATACACACTTATCAAGAGAACATCCCTGGTCATCCCTACTGCCTCTGATCTGGCAGACTCACTTAACACACATGCTTCCTTTGTAAATGATGTCTGAGTGTTGGAGTGTGCCCCTGGCTAGCCGTAAATTTAAAACAACAAGAGAATTGTGCCATCTGGTTTGCTTAATATAAGGAATTTGAAATAATTTATACTTTTACTTTTATGCTTTATATATTTGAGCAATTACATTTACTTTTGATACTTAAGTATATTTATAACCAAATACTTTTAGACTTTTACTCAAGTAGTATTTTACTGGGTGTCTTTCACTTTTACTTGAGTCATTTTCTATGAAGGTATCTTTACTTTTACTCAAGTATGACAATTGGGTACTTTTTCCACCACTGGTTGTTTCTATATTGTTTGCATGTGTACCCGCAGTTGTTGCAGTTGAAGTGAGGAATGGGCCAAAATTCACTTATTGTGGGAAGCTTGTGGAAGGCTACCCGAAACGTTTGACCCAAGTTAAACAATTTAAAGGCAATGCTATCAAATACTAATTGAGTGTATGTAAACTTCTGACCCACTGGGAATATGATGAAAGAAATAAAAGCTGAAATAAATCATTCTCTCTACTATTATTCTGACATTTCACATTCTTAAAATAAAGTGGTGATCCTAACTGAACTAAAACACTGAATTTTTACTAGGATTAAATGTCAGCAATTGTGAAAAAACTGAGTTTAAATGTATTTGGCTAAGGTGTATGTATACTTCCGACTTCAACTGTATATATGTACTGTATATATTACTATTATTTTATTGTTTCATTCACACCTGCACTGTTGGAGCTCGGAGCTTAAGAATTTCACTGTACACTGCAACTACATCTGCGACCCTGTGCATGTGACTAAATAAAAACCGAATCTCGTGCTGCTATGTAGGTGCAGTTCCTGTACTCACCACACTGGTGGCAGCAGGGAGCAAACAGCATCTGGAAGTCGTGCTCGCAGTACTTCCTGCCCTCAAACTGCAGAAAAAAAGTTTGTTTCAATAAAGTTTAGGTGTAGTTTGGATGGGCCAGCTGGGCAGGCAACTATTGTCTTATAGTCAGAAAATACACTTATTTTAGTAGTTACAGTCTATACGCTTCTGGATCAATCAATACAGAACATAAGCATGTCATTGATTAGAACATACAGTAGCCATAGATACACCTATACCTCTACAGATCTGTCTGTGGCTTTGATCTCCCTTTCAGGGAAGAGCTCTGGGATCCCTAGGGTCAGTTGGAGATGTGTCTGGCCTCCTGTCTATTCTGCTGGCCACTGACCAGCCAGACAGAGAGAGGGATATCTCACCAGAGACAAGCCTCTAATGGGCCAGTAATGCATTGGGAGGAGTGCTGTGAGTTTGGGAGTCGATCCAGCTAATACACTATACCTAATATCGAATTTGTGACAGGAGGGAGGCTAAAGCAATAATTGTCTCTAGGACAAGGGGCTTAGGGTTTATTTCAGGCTGGACAATGTATAGGATGAGATGGGTGAGGTAGAGCGGAAGAGTGGAGAGAGGGTCTGATGGTGAGAGGGCAAAGACAGTATGATGGTGAGGGGGAAAAGAGAGGGTCTGATGTTGAGAGGGAGAGGAAAGAGACAGTATGATGTTGAGAGGGAGAGGAAAGAGAGAGGGTCTGATGTTGAGAGGGAGAGGAAAGAGACAGTATGATGTTGAGAGGGAGAGGAAAGAGAGAGGGTCTGATGTTGAGAGTGAGAGGAAAGAGACCGTATGATGTTGAGAGGGAGAGGAACGAGACCATATGATGGTGAGAGTGAGAGGAAAGAGAGAGGGTATGATGTTGAGAGGGAGAGGAAAGAGAGAGGGTCTGATGGTGAGAGGGAAGAGACAGTATGATGGTGAGAGGGAGTGGAAAGAGACCGTATGATGGTGAGAGTGAGAGGAAAGAGAGAGGGTCTGATGTTGAGAGGGAGAGAAAAGAGAGAGGGTCTGATGGTGAGAGGGAGAGGAAAGAGAGAGGGTCTGATGGTGAGAGGGAGAGGAAAGAGAGAGGGTATGATGTTGAGAGGGAGAGAAAAGAGAGAGGGTCTGATGTTGAGAGGGAGAGGAAAGAGAGAGGGTCTGATGGTGAGAGGGAAGAGACAGTATGATGGTGAGAGGGAGAGGGAAGAGACCGTATGATGGTGAGAGTGAGAGGAAAGAGAGAGGGTCTGATGTTGAAAGGGAGAGGAAAGAGAGAGGGTCTGATGGTGAGAGGGAGAGGAAAGAGAGAGGGTCTGATGGTGAGAGGGAGAGGAAAGAGAGAGGGTCTGATGGTGAGAGGGAGAGGAAAGAGAGAGGGTCTGATGGTGAGAGGGAGAGGAAAGAGACAGTATGATGTTGAGAGGGAGAGGAAAGAGAGAAGGTCTGATGGTGAGAGGGAGAGAGAAGAGACAGTATGATGTTGAGAGGGAGAGGAAAGAGAGAGGGTCTGATGGTGAGAGGAAAGATACAGTATGATGGTGAGAGGGAGAGGGAAGAGAGAGGGTATGATGTTGACAGGGGTATAGTAAGAGAATGTCACCTCATAGAAGAGACCTTCAGGGAACTGTTGGAAGCACTGAGCACAGACGAAGCACCCCTCATGGTACAGCTCCCCGTTACTGTTGACGATCTTCTCCGCCGGGGCAAAGCCACTCTTACAGCGCTCACACATCGCATTGGCCAGGGCATTGGCCATGTTGCTGAGAGGAGAGAGCGGTGAGAAAGGTGCCCAGAGTGTTATCATGAGTATTATTCTTCTCTTTTCTAAAAGGGGAAAGAACAGGTCATAGAGTAACGTCACAATGAACACAGTGTAGAACCCTCTTGGCAAGGTTTTATCAGCAGCCACACCACGGCTGAAGTACATTCATCACCCATCGTACAGAAAGAATAGTTTCTCTCTGACACAACACACCCAGCAGGAGGCTGTATTCAGGGTTTGGAGATCAGGGTGGGGGGAAATGAGTGAGGAGAGCTGAGATCACACATTCCCTCACACACATACAGGCACGTACACACATATGGATTCTCAGGTCAGTTCCCACAGTAACCTCTGGTGTGTTTGTTGGTCCATCTCTGCCCACCATAGCCTCAGGCGGAGAAGGAAAATCTAGATGCTGTGTTTTGAGAAACAGGGAGAAGCGCCCTCCCATCTGTCCTGAATTAACACATACTGTATCAACAGAGATGCACACTCTACAGTCACAGCCAGACCCTGCACTGAGTGTGTGTGTGCGTGTGCATGTGTGTGTGCGTGTGTGTGTGTGTGGCCCAATCGGAGCCAATATTGCACAAACCCTGCCAAGGAACAGCAGGTAAAACATTTTTTTACATTTGTAGCCATAGTGAGAGACACTGTGTGTACAGTATGTGTGTGTAGGGAGGAGAGAATTAGTTCAAATAAGGGCATCTCTCTCCATCTCAGAGCTACAGGGCAGGCTGCTACTCCTAGTCCCACACAAACTCTACGTTCATGTCACCAGACTTAATGGATAACAGAGGGGTTTTTCAATGACAGCCAGGGAGCTGTCTCTCCAAACAGCCTGTTGAAAGAGAGGCAGGAGGTGAAGGAGGGAGGGAGGGCTGCTTTGTTTAAAAGGTCAGAATTCCAATGTGTGTCCAGGAGACTAGGAGACACACACGCTCATGCACACACACAAACGCAAACACAAACTCACACACACTACATGACCAAAATTATGTGGACACCTGCTCGTAGAACGTCTCATTCCAAAATCATGCGCATTAATATGGAGTTGGTCCCCCCTTTGCTGCTATAACAGCCTCCACTCTTCTGGGAAGGCTTTCCACTACATGTTGGAACATTGCTAAGGGGACTTGCTTCCATTCAGCCACAAGGGCATAAGTGAGGTCGGGCACTGATGTTGGCCAGTTAGGCCTGGCTCGCACTCGTCGTTCCAATGGGGATGAGGTCAGGGCTCTGTGCAGGCCAGTCAAGTTCTTCCACACCGATCTTGACAAATCATTTCTGTATGGACCTCGCTTTGTGCACGGGGGCATTGTCATGCTGAAACAAGAAAGGGCCTTCCCCAAAGTTGGAAGCACAGAATCGTCTAGAATACCATTGTATGCTGTAGGATTAAGATTTCCCTTCACTAGAACCAAGGGGCCTAGACCGAACCATGAAAAACAGCCCCAGTCCATTATTCCTCCTCCACCAAACTTTACAGTTGGCACAATGCATTGGGGCAGGTAGCATTCTCCTGGCATCAGCCAAACCCAGATTCGTCTGTCGGACTGCCAGATGGTGAAGTGTGATTCATCACTCCAGAGAACGCGTTTCCACTGCTCCAGAGTTCAATGGCGGCTAGCTTTACACCACTCCAGCCGACGCTTGGCATTGCGCATGGTGATCTTAGGCTTGTGTGCGGCTGCTCGGCCATGGAAACCCATTTCATGAAGCTCCCGACTAACAGTTCTTGTGGTAACAGTTCTTGTGCTATTTCCAGAGGCAGTTTGGAACTCGGTAGTGAGCGTTGCAACAGAGGACAGACGATTGTTACGCGCTACGCGCTTCAGCACTCGGCGGTCCCGTTCTGTGAGCTTTGTGTGGCCTACCACTTTGCGGCTGAGCCGTTGTTGCTCCTAGACATTTCCACTTCACAATAACAGCACTTACAGTTGACCAGGGCAGCTTTAACAGGGCAAAGATTGGACGAACTGACTTGTTGGAAAGGTGGCATCCTATGACGATGCCACGTTGAAAGTAACTGAGCTATTCAATACACCTGTCAGCAATGGGTGTGGCTGAAATAGCAGAATCCACTAATTTGAATGGATGTCCACATACTTTTGTATATATATATATATATATATATATATATATATATATATATACACACAGTGAGGGAAAAAAGTATTAGATCCCCTGCTGATTTTGTACGTTTGCCCACTGACAAAGAAATGATAAGTCTATAATTTTAATGGTAGGTTTATTTGAACAGTGAGAGACAGAATAACAACAAAAAAATCCAGAAAAACGCATGTCAAAAATGTTATAAATTGATTTGCATTTTAAATGAGGGAAATAAGTATTTGACCCCCTCTCAATCAGAAAGATTTCTGGCTCCCAGGTGTCTTTTATACAGGTAACAAGCTGATATTAGGAGCACACTCTTAAAGGGAGTGCTCCTAATCTCAGCTTGTTACCTGTATAAAAGACATCTGTCCACAGAAGCAATCAATCAGATTCCAAACTCTCCACCATGGCCAAGACCAAAGAGCTCTCCAAGGATGTCAGGGACAAGATTGTAGACCTACACAAGGCTGGAATGGGCTACAAGACCATCACCAAGCAGCTTGGTGAGAAGGTGACAACAGTTGGTGCGATTATTCGCAAATGGAAGAAACACAAAATAACTGTCAATCTCCCTCGGCCTGGGGCTCCATGCAAGATCTCATCTCGTGGAGTTGAAATGATCATGAGAATGTTGAGGAATCAGCCCAGAACTACACGGGAGGATCTTGTCAATGATCTCAAGGCAGCTGGGACCATAGTCACCAAGAAAACAATTGGTAACACACTACGCCATGAAGGACTGAAATCCTGCAGCGCCCGCAAGGTCCCCTGCTCATGAAAGCACATATACATGCCCGTCTGAAGTTTGCCAATGAACATCTGAATGATTCAGAGGAGAACTGGGTGAAAGTGTTGTGGTCAGATGAGACCAAAATGGAGCTCTTTGGCATCAACTCAACTCGCCGTGTTTGGAGGAGGAGGAATGCTGCCTATGACCCCAAGAACACCATCCCCACCGTCAAACATGGAGGTGGAAACATTATGCTTTGGGGGTGTTTTTCTGCTAAGGGGACAGGACAACTTCACCGCATCAAAGGGACGATGGACGGGGCAATGTACCGTCAAATCTTGGGTGAGAACCTCCTTCCCTCAGCCAGGGGATTGAAAATGAGTCGTGGATGGGTATTCCAGCATGACAGTGACCCAAAACACACGGCCAAGGCAACAAAGGAGTGGCTCAAGAAGAAGCACATTAAGGTCCTGGAGTGGCCTAGCCAGTCTCCAGACCTTAATCCCATAGAAAATCTGTGGAGGGAGCTGAAGGTTCGAGTTGCCAAACGCCAGCCTCGAAACCTTAATGACTTGGAGAAGATCTGCAAAGAGGAGTGGGACAAAATCACTCCTGAGATGTGTGCAAACCTGGTGGCCAACTACAAGAAACGTCTGACCACTGTGATTGCCAACAAGGGTTTTTGCCACCAAGTACTAAGTCATGTTTTGCAGAGGGGTCAAATAATTATTTCCCTCATTCAAATGCAAATCAATTTATAACATTTTTTACATGCGTTTTTCTGGATTTTTTTGTTGTTATTCTGTCTCTCACTGTTCAAATAAACCTACCATTAAAATTATAGACTGATCATTTCTTTGTCAGTGGGCAAACGTACAAAATCAGCAGGGGATCAAATACTTTTTTCCCTCACTGTATATACAGTGGGGAGAACAAGTATTTGATACACTGCCGATTTTGCAGGTTTTCCTACTTACAAAGCATGTAGAGGTCTGTCATTTTTATCATAGGTACACTTCAACTGTGAGAGACGGAATCTAAAACAAAAATCCAGAAAATCACATTGTATGATTTTTAAGTAATTAATTTGCATTTTATGGCATGACGTAAGTATTTGATACATCAGAAAAGCAGAACTTAATATTTGGTACAGAAACCTTTGTTTGCAATTACAGAGATCATACGTTTCCTGTAGGTCTTGACCAGGTTTGCACACACTGCAGCAGGGATTTTGGCCCACTCCTCCATACAGACCTTCTCCAGATCCTTCAGGTTTTGGGTCTGTCACTGGGCAATACGGACTTTCAGCTCCCTCCAAAGATTTTGTATTGGGTTCAGGTCTGGAGACTGGCTAGGCCACTCCAGGACCTTGAGATGCTTCTTACGGAGCCACTCCTTAGTTGCCCTGGCTGTGTGTTTCGGGTCGTTGTCATGCTGGAAGACCCAGCCACGACCCATCTTCAATGCTCTTACTGAGGGAAGGAGGTTGTTGGCCAAGATCTCACGATACATGGCCCCATCCATCCTCCCCTCAATACAGTGCAGTCGTCCTGTCCCCTTTGCAGAAAAGCATCCCCAAAGAATGATGTTTCCACCTCCATGCTTCACGGTTGGGATGGTGTTCTTGGGGTTGGACTCGTCGTTCTTCTTCCTCCAAATACGGCGAGTGGAGTTTAGACCAAAAAGCTTTAATTTGGTCTCATCAGACCACATGACCTTCTCCCATTCCTCCTTTGGATCATCCAGATGGTCATTGGCAAACTTCAGACGGGCCTGGACATGCGCTGGCTTGAGCAGGGGGACCTTGCATGCGCTGCAGGATTTTAATCCATGACGGCGTAGTGTGTTACTAATGGTTTTCTTTGAGACTGTGGTCCCAGCTCTCTTCAGGTCATTGACCAGGTCCTGCCGTGTAGTTCTGGGCTGATCCCTCACCTTCCTCATGATCATTGATGCCCCACGAGGTGAGATCTTGCATGGAGCCCCAGACCGAGGGTGATTGACCGTCATCTTGAACTTCTTCCATTTTCTAATAATTGCGCCAACAGTTGTTGCCTTCCCACCAAGCTGCTTGCCTATTATCCTGTAGCCCATCCCAGCCTTGTGCAGGTCTACAATTTTATCCCTGATGTCTTTACACAGCTCTCTGGTCTTGGCCATTGTGGAGAGGTTGGAGTCTGTTTGATTGAGTGTGTGGACAGGTGTCTTTTATACAGGTAACGAGTTCAAACAAGTGCAGTTAATACAGGTAATGAGTGGCGAACAGGAGGGCTTCTTAAAGAAAAACTAACAGGTCTGTGAGAGCTGGAATTCTTACTGGTTGGTAGGTGATCAAATACTTATGTCATGCAATAAAATGCAAATTAATTACTTAAAAATCATACAATGTGATTTTCTGGATTTGTGTTTTAGATTCTGTCTCTCACAGTTGAAGTGTACCTATGATAAAAATTACAGACCTCTACATGCTTTGTAAGTAGGAAAACCTGCAAAATCGGCAGTGTATCAAATACTTGTTCTCCCCACTGTATATATTACACTGAACAAAAATATAAACGCAACATGTAAAGTGGTGGTTGCGTGTTTCATGAGCTGAAAAAAAGATTCCAGAAATTTTCCATATGCACAAAAAGCTTATTTCCCTCAAATGGTGTGCACAAATCTGTTTACATTCCTGTTAGTGAGCATTACTCCTTTGCCAAGATAATCCATCCAACTGACAGAAGTGGCATATCAAGCGTGCAATTGGCATGCAATTGGCATGCTGACTAGAGGAATGTCCACCAGAGCTGTTGCCAGAGAATAGAATGTTCATGTCTCTACCATAAGCCGACTCCAACGTCGTTTTAGAGAATTTGGCAGTACGTTCAACCGGCCTCACAACCGCAGACCATGTGTAACCACGCCAGCCCAGGACTTCCACATCCGGCTTCTTCACCTGCGGGATGATCTGATGAAACTGTGGGTTTGCACAACCAAAGAATTTCTGCACAAACTGTCAGAAACCGTCTCAGGGAAGCGCATCTGCGTGCTCATCGTCCTCACCAGGGTCTTGACGTGACTGCAGTTCGGCGTAATAACCGACTACAATGGGCAAATGCTCACTTTCAATGTCCACTGGCACGCTGGAGAAGTGTGCTCTTCATGGATAAATCCTGGTTTCAACTGTACCGGGCAGATGGCAGACAGCGTGTATGGCGTCATGTGGGCGAGCGGTTTGCTGATGTCAACGTTGTGAAAAGAGTGCCCCATGGTGGCGGTGGGGTTATGGTATGGGTAGGCATAAACTACGGACAATGAACACAATTGCATTTTATCGATGGCAATTTGAATGCACAGAGATACCTTGACGAGATCCTGAGGCCCATTGTCGTGTCATTCATCTGCTGCCATCACCTCATGTTTCAGCATGATAATGCACGGCCCCATGTCGTAAGGATCTGTACACAATTTCTGGCTGCTGAAAATGTCCCAGTTCTTCCATGGCCTGCATACTCACCAGACATGTCACCCATTGAGCATGTTTGGGATGCTCTGGATCGACGTGTACGACAGCGTGTTCCAGTTCCCACCAATATCCAGCAACTTCACACAGCCATTGAAGAGGAGTGGGCCTGATCAACTCTATGCAAAGGAGATGTGTCGCGCTGCATGAGGCAACTGGTGGTCACACCAGATACTGACTGGTTTTCTGATCCACTCCCCTACATTTTCTTTTTTTAAGGTATCTGTGACCAACAGATGCATATCTGTATTCCCAGTCATGTGAAATCCATAGATTAGGGCCTAATGCATTTATTTCAATTGACTGATTTCCTTATATGAACTGTAACTCTTTGAAATTGTTGCATGTTGCATTTATATTTTTGTTCAGTGTACAGTGGGGAAAAAAAGTATTTAGTCAGCCACCAATTGTGCAAGTTCTCCCACTTAAAAATATGAGAGAGGCCTGTAATTTTCATCACGTCAACTATGACAGAGAAAATGAGAAAAAAAAATCCAGAAAATCACATTGTAGGATTTTTAATGAATTTATTTGCAAATTATGGTGGAAAATAAGTATTTGGTCAATAACAAAAGTTTCTCAATACTTTGTTATATACCCTTTGTTGGCAATGACACAGGTCAAACGTTTTCTGTAAGTCTTCACAAGGTTTTCACACACTGTTGCTGGTATTTTGGCCCATTCCTCCATGCAGATCTCCTCTAGAGCAGTGATGTTTTGGGGCTGTCGCTGGGCAATACGGACTTTCAACTCCCGCCAAAGATTTTCTATGGGGTTGAGATCTGGAGACTGGCTAGGCCACTCCAGGACCTTGAAATGCTTCTTACGAAGCCACTCCTTCGTTGCCCGGGCGGTGTGTTTGGGATCATTGTCATGCTGAAAGACCCAGCCACGTTTCATCTTCAATGCCCTTGCTGATGGAAGGAGGTTTTCACTCAAAATCTCATGATACATGGCCCCATTCATTCTTTCCTTTACACGGATCAGTCGTCCTGGTCCCTTTGCAGAAAAACAGCCCCAAAGCATGATGTTTCCACCCCCATGCTTCACAGTAGGTATGGTGTTCTTTGGATGCAACTCAGCATTATTTGTCCTCCAAACACGACGAGTTGAGTTTTTACCAAAAAGTTATATTTTGGTTTCATCTGACCATTTGACATTCTCCCAATCCTCTTCTGGATCATCCAAATGCACTCTAGCAAACTTCAGACGGGCCTGGACATGTACTGGCTTAAGCAGGGGGACACGTCTGGCACTGCAGGATTTGAGTCCCTGGCAGCGTAGTGTGTTACTGATGGTAGGCTTTGTTACTTTGGTCCCAGCTCTCTGCAGGTCATTCATTAGGTCCCCCCGTGTGGTTCTGGGATTTTTGCTCACCGTTCTTGTGATCATTTTGACCCCACAGGGTGAGATCTTGCGTAGAGCCCCAGATCGAGGGAGATTATCAGTGGTCTTGTATGTCTTCCATTTCCTAATAATTGCTCCCACAGTTGATTTCTTCAAACCAAGCTGCTTACCTATTGCAGATTCAGTCTTCCCAGCCTGGTGCAGGTCTACAATTTTGTTTCTGGTGTCCTTTGACAGCTCTTTGGTCTTGGCCATAGTGGAGTTTGGAGTGTGACTGTTTGAGGTTGTGGACAGGTGTATTTTATACTGATAACAAGTTCAAACAGGTGCCATTAATACAGGTAACGAGTGGAGGACAGAGGAGCCTCTTAAAGAAGAAGTTACAGGTCTGTGAGAGCCAGAAATCTTGCATGTGTCACGATCGTCTATGTCGTCTAAGTATGACCAAGGCGCAGCGTGTCCAAGAAACATGACTTTATTAATTAAACGTTATAGAACTACAAAACAAAAGACGACTCAATGAAGTCCACGGTACACTGACCGAAACGGAACAAAAACCCACAACACCCAAAGGAAAACATACAGATAAATATGGCTCCCAATCAGAGATAACGAGCCGACAGCTGACACTCGTTACCTCCGATTGGGAGTCATTGACCAAACCTAGAAATGAACCCCACAGAAATGCAAACATAGAAATACACCCAAATACCCAACATAACCAAACCAAAACCCAACAAAACAAAATACACCCTGGCTCAAATACAAACGTCCCGGAGCCAGAGTGTCACAGTACCCCCCCCTAAAGGTGCGAACTCCGGGCGCACCAGCATACAGTCTAGGGGAGGGTCTGGGTGGGCGTCTGTCCACGATGGCGGTTCTGGCCCTGGTCGTGGTCCCCACCCCACCTTAGTCACTATCCGCTTCCGTAGCCTCCTCCACCTGACCACCCCCCAACTAAACCCCACTGGATTAAGGGGCGGCACCGGACTAAAGGGCAGCACCGGACTAAGGGGCAGCACCGGACTAAGGGGCAGTACCGGACTAAGGGGCAGCACCAGGATAAGGGGCAGCACCGGGCTAAGGGACAGCACCGGACTCAATGGCGGATCCTGGCTGGCTGGCTCTGGCGGGTCCTGGCTGGACGGCTCTGGCGGATCCTGGCTGGACGGCTCATGGCTGGCTGAAGGATCTGGCTGCTCATGGCTGGCTGACGGATCTGGCTGCTCATGGCTGGCTGACGGATCTGGCTGCTCATGGCTGGCCGACGGATCTGGCTGCTCATGGCTGGCCGACGGATCTGGCTGCTCATGGCTGGCTGAAGGATCTGGCTGCTCATGGCCGGCTGACGGATCTGGCTGCTCATGGCTGGCGGAAGGCTCTGGCTGATCCTGTCTGGCGGAAGGCTCTAGCGGCTCCGGTCTGGCGGACGGCTCTGAAGGCTCATGGCAGACGGGCGGCTTTGCAGGCTCAGTCCAGACGGCCAGTTCAAGCGCCTTTGGGCAGACGGGCAGTTCAGGCCCCGTTGGGCAGACGGCAGACTCTGGCCGTCTGAGGCGCACCGTAGGCCTGGTGCGTGGTGCCGGAACTGGAGGTACCGGGCTGAGGACACGCATCTCAGGGCTAGTGCGGGGAGAAGCAACAGGGCATGCTGGACCCTGGGAACGCACATAAAGCCTAGTGCGGGGAGAAGGAACAGGGCATGCTGGACCCTGGGGACGCACATAAGGCCTAGTACGGAGAGCAGCAACAGGACGCACAGGACTCGGGGAACACACAGGAGGCTTGGTGCGTGGTGTAGGCACTGGTGGTACTGGGCTGGAGCGGGGAGGTGGCGCCGGAAATACCGGACCGTGCAGGCTTACTGGCCCCCTTGAGCACTGAGCCTGCCCAACCTTACCCGGGTTGATGCTCCCCGTCGCCCGACCAGTACGGGGAGGTGGAATAACCCGCACCGGCCTATGTGGGCGAACCGGGAACACCATGCGTAAGGCTGGTGCCATGTACGCCGGCCCGAGAAGACGCACTGGTAGCCGGATGCGTTGGGCCGGCTTCATGACATCTGGCTCAACGCTCACTCTAACCCGGCCGATACGTGGAGCTGGAATGTACCGAACCGGGCTATGCCTGCGTACAGGAGACACCATGCGCTCTACTGCGTAACACGGTGTCTGCCCGTACTCTCGCTCTCCACGGTAAGTCCAGGGAGTAGGCGCAGGTCTCCTACCTGACTTCGCCACACTCCCTTTAAGCCCCCCCCCAAGAAATTTTTGGGTAGTACCCACGGGCTTCCAGCCTTGACTCCGTGCTGCCTCCTCATACCGCCTCCTCTCGGCTTTAGCTGCCTCCAGCTCTTCACGAGGGCGGCGATATTCTCCCGGTTGTGCCCAAGGACCCTTTCCAGCCAGTATCTCCCCCCATGTCCATGAATCCTTAGGAGCAGGGTCCTGTTGCCGCTTGACACGCTGCTTGGTCCTATGATGGTGGGTTTTTCTGTCACGATCGTCTATGTCGTCTAAGTATGACCAAGGCGCAGCGTGTCCAAGAAACATGACTTTATTAATTAAACGTTATAGAACTACAAAACAAAAGACGACTCAATGAAGTCCACGGTACACTGACCGAAACGGAACAAAAACCCACAACACCCAAAGGAAAACATACAGATAAATATGGCTCCCAATCAGAGATAACGAGCCGACAGCTGACACTCGTTACCTCCGATTGGGAGTCATTGACCAAACCTAGAAATGAACCCCACAGAAATGCAAACATAGAAATACACCCAAATACCCAACATAACCAAACCAAAACCCAACAAAACAAAATACACCCTGGCTCAAATACAAACGTCCCGGAGCCAGAGTGTCACAGCATGTTTGTAGGTGACCAAATACTTATTTTCCACCATAATTTGCAAATAAATTCATTAAAAATCCTACAATGTGATTTTCTGGAAAAAAATATCTCATTTTGTCTGTCATAGTTGACGTGTACCTATGATGAAAATTACAGGCCTCTCTCATCTTTTTAAGTGGGAGAACTTGCACAATTGGTGGCTGACTAAATACTTTTTTCCCCCACTGTATATGGCACTGCTCTCCCCTCAGAGAGAGAGAGACCTCACCTTCTTTCTCTCAATATTACGTCCCTCTTTTGTCTTCCTTCCGATCTCATCATATAGCAGCTGTACATCCTACAGCAGGATCACCACTACAGTAACTCACTACATTCCAGAGCACACAGAATGTATTGTCACAAGATGTGGAATCAATGCAGAGGTTCCGTCAAGCTATTCTACAGCTATCATCACACTGTCTGATGTAATGTGTGTACGTATGGGCGCCATATTGTCAGGACCCTGGCGTGACATCAGACAGAAGGAAGGACTCAGAAGCCCTGTTCTGGCCTTGCTGGAAGGAAGTGACAAAAGCCTCAAGCATTTCCCCCCAGAGACAGGAAGACAGAACGACTATTAAAGGAGGTGCTGAGCTGCTTGGTAAATACTTCATGATACTAACTTAGTGAGTTTGTGTCACAGGGAGAGAGAGAGGGAGGGAGACAGACCGGTATCATAATGTTTCACGGGGTTTTGATCTTATGACCCACCCTGTTGTCTCTAGTGCTCATGTTTATAAAATGACCAGGTTGTCATCACACGTCAGAGAGGCTGACAAATCAGAGCTTCTGTTTTTATTAACCATACTGGATTATTAATGGCTATTCTGTCCCATCGGTTGAAAGATACTATGGTCTGTGCTAGAGTATCTGAGGCATCTAAGGATCGGACTTAGCCTCCCCGAATAAGTCAAAGCTTCAAACTGTGTGAGCCTCACTTCCTTATAGGCTTGCTAATGATTAGCATTCCAGACATATTCACTGACTCAAGTTTTTCACTGATAATACTTCTAATGCTGACAACATTACCCCCAATGGCCAACATTATCTGAGTAACACCCATTCTCACTATTGACAGGGGCACAACATAAAAAAAGCTAACATATATTTAGCCTGCCCTCATCCCCTAGATCCCTTCCTTTCACACACACACACAAATGCACGCACGCATACACTGACACATAGTTCTCATGCCTACCGGCATATTTCACTTTGCATAACAAACTCCCCCAACATTAAAATAGCCCAGGGTCTCTGAGCCACTGTCTACTACCATACCATGGTACCATGACCTGGAGCATGAAACCAGCCAACTGTGTGTTCATGTCAAATAACACTTTATAGAATTCAGATCATCCAACTGTTCCTTAAACTGCTGTAATACCAGAATTATTCACATCCTAATACCAGAATTCTTTACATTCTTAACATTTCCAATACGCTTTTACAAACTAAGGTCAACCACAGTCAATTGTGATAACCTTAAACCATAAATCAACTAAGTGGGTTTAAACCTAAAATAATTTATACTACTCAGATGTTATACAGATCTGTAATGCTATCACTGGATCACACAGGTGATTTCAGAGATCCACACCAAGGATCCACTCAATCCTGTTACACACACTTCCTCCCCTAGTGTGTGTAGCATGTATCATGGCTCCGGGACTTACAAGCGTGCGTAGAAGTCACAGAACTCCTTGTAGACTTTGACATCGCTTCGTCTCCTCTGAGACTTGGAGACAGGCAGCTCTGCCTCCCCACCGTTGGCATGATGATGACCGTTGACCTCCGTGTGGGGTTCAGGGTCAGGGGCCGCCCCATTCTCCGGAATGGTGGGTGGCAGAGGCCGACTCTGGACATGAACCTCCATAGGACACGACTCGGTAGTCCAAATACTAGTTAGTACATGCTCCCAGTCCAAGACACACTGCCCCAGGCCTATCCTTTAAATACAAGCTCTTTCCCAAACACTCAGTCTCAGAACAATCCAATCCAAAGGGCAGGAGTAGCAGTCCAGAGAGATGGTCTGAGCAGCACTGAGACTGAGAAGGAGACTGACTGACTGACCTGACTTCACACAGATCCCTGATCTACCTCCCTCTCTCTCTTTTTCTCTCCCTTGCTCACACTCTCTCATTCCCTTTCACCCTCCCTCAACGCTCTCTCTCACACACACACCCTGTCTCTAGATGCTGTCTCTCTTGCCCTACCTCTCCCTTCTTCTCTGTGTCACCCTTCCTCCCTCCCTCCCTCCCTCTCTCTGTTAAGGGGTGTGTCTTTCAAACTAAGAGCCCACCCAGCCACCGGACTAGAGCAGACAGAGGTGACTGGACACACACACAGTGAAGGGAGACTTCACGGGGTGCCTGCCATCTCTATCTAAAAGGGGGGCTGAGTATGAGTGGATGTATGAATGTATATTGTTATGTGTTTATCCTTTATTCCACTGGTCAGTAGATAGATTTGTATCATAATCCATATTTCATCAATGTACAGTTATATGCATACTTTCATCATTACACCCTGACCTGTTATTCTTAAATAGGAATGAATGGGAGTTATGTTTTGTCATTATCTTGTGTTATCATTTGCTCTCTCTCTGTTCCCTCTCTTTCCTCCCTAGATCCCTGATCACAGGTGATGAGCTGAACCTGTGACCGATGGGGAAGTGCATATATATATATATATATATATATTTGGGTGCTATGGGGGGGTCTTCAGGTCTCCTGGGTTCCGGGCCACTCTCCGAGAGGAGGCCTTCTTATTGCCCCCAGCACCATGTGTGTTATATTTTCAGCCTGAGGGCCATGTATTTGTAATAAATAAACATTATGTATTTGTAATAAATATCCCTTTAACTTTCGCATCAGACAACATGGTCCTGCGATTCCTTTCATAGATACGGTCCAGGCAATGGGCTGTCGTAACACACACATACACAGTATAACACATTCTCTCTGTACATTGTCACCTATAGAGATATGTTGTGATTTCACAGCTCCAGGAGAGATACAGATGGTTTGGCTTATGTCATAAATGTGTGTGTTTCTGCTCTCAGGGAGATCCACCACATGAATCCGAGTCAGAAACACTACAGGCTGAGTTGAGCAACTCAGTGTTTTGCTCAAGGGAGATTAAGGAATGAAACATGAACTCTGCCAAATGAAAACATTATGAACACATAAAAGTAATCTCATCCATATTCTGCCATTTCTAATCTAGTGAATAAACACGTTCAGAAAAGAATTACAAAAATGTAAACTAAATTATTAATATTATTATTTGCTCTATGCCATCAGAATGATTGATAGTTGTTTTTGTGGCAAAACTCATCACATCTTACTGCTCTGACTGCCCCTCCTTAAATGAATGACACTCCTACACCACCAAAAGGCCAGGAGAATAAATCTACAGGAAACGCTCAAATAACTCTGATTCAGTGGGAACATATTAATCCTCTGTAAGAAAAACAAACTATTTGTCCCTCTGAAAACCCCTTCAATTACTTTAAAACCAAGGCAGTGTCCCAGCTCCAAATCTCAATGCTGTGTGTAAGCCTGTGTGTCTCTCTAGCATGGAGTACTGTGGACATGTGCGTCTCTCCACAGAGTGTTGGACCGTAAACCAGGAGGGCAGAGGCATTCCTCTCTGCTATTCCAATCTACTGCGTGTTTCCATCATTCTACAAATAGATGCCTGGGAAATTCTCATCTCCAAACCAGGCTCTGGCAGCTGACGCCAGCCCCAGTGTATGTGGGGGGCCAGCTTTACCCTCCTTCCTGTCCCTGGTGAGAGAGGCTGGTGTGTGACTTACTGCTAGTAGGTTCTTACTCACACAGACAACATGGGTCCTTCTATTCTCACTACTGATCCAGATAAAGAATGGATTTAAATGGTCATAGGAAACAGACTGGGAACCACTGGTGTTGACTGACAGGACAATGGGCGGGACAAAAACAGGAAACACTAAGCTGCCACCCTGATTACAGAATACTGATTATACTGAGGAGTAGAGAGGAGAGTTTCTATGTGGTCGTGTCTCTGTTGTTCAGGCCCTAGCCTATTCCTGACTGCACTGTTCACATTCCACGACAACAGGTGAAGCTTCTCTCTCTTTCTCAGCCTTTGTCTGAGAGAGAGAGAGAAAGATGGCGAGACGAAAATGAGAGAGAAAGAAAGGGACAGAGAGAAAGCCTCTAGCCCGCCAAATCCCTGCATTTCCCATGAAGCCCATATGGAGGTTTATTATGAGAGAGAGAGAGAGAGAGAGAGAGAGAGAGAGAGAGAGAGGAGGTTGCTATGAGTTGGACGGGGGTGCATGGGGGTTGTGATCGTAGATTCTGCCAGATCCACTCTACTAAAGCTGTTCACAGGCTATAGATCCTGTCAGAACTGGAGCTTATATTTACATGATGTCTCTCTCTCTCTCTGTGTGTATATCAGTGTGTGTGTGTCAGTGGAGATTGCTGAGGGGAGGACGGCTCATTATAATGTCTGGAACGGAGCAAATGGAATGGCATCAAACACATGGAAACCATGTGTTTAATGTATTTGATAGCATTCCACTAATTCCGCTCCAGTCATTCCCACGAGCCCGTCCTCCTAAATTAAGGTGCCACCGACCTCCCGTGGTAGGCGCGTGTAGGGCCTGTAGTACAGCCTGTTCTGAGGTAATAGAGGAGAGTAAACAAATACAGCATCTGACTGACACACATCCAGACTGGGAGAGTGTGTGTAAGTGTTAATGTGTAAGTGAGCTAAGATGTTTGCGAATGTATAAATGTCTGTGTGTTCACTTGATATCAGTGTGTGTGTGTGTGTGTGTGTGTGTCACCTCACCAGTAGCCTTTAATTAATGAGGCCACCCAGAGGGGCACCAAGGGGCTAGGGCCTAAAAATGTCCTTAGCAACTGTCACCAGCAGACAGTGTGGCTCTGGAGTGCATTCTCTGCATTGGGACATGGCTCTACAGGACTCTAAAGAGATGGGCAATTCCATGGTAACAGAATGATGATGAGACTCCAATTCTTCACTTTAAAAAGTATGCCAAACAAAAACCAACGATTGCAAAAATAAACAAATCATACAAGTCTACGCACAAGGATTACTTTCAAAGATGCCCACTGAACATTTTACAAAACAAATATGCTTGAAGAACAGTGTCTAACCATCTAACAAACCAACTAAACGGCCTGATTCCTAACCTGAGATTCATGCACATTACCTGAGTATCCACACAAATCTTCAATTGACATCAATGTATGATTTCTGCAATTGTTGAGCTACATTATATTGGTCACCTACAAATGGACCCCTAGCCCCTATTGGGTAATAGCAACTTGTTAATATGTTGATAACTTCACCCTGGGCTTTCTCTCCTGCAGGTCGAATCCAGGGTTACTCTCAACAACAGGTATACAGAGGAGGCTCCAGTAAACAGCAGTCAGGACAGGGCCAACTACTGAGAGAAACCCTGCCACCTGGGGATCTGAAGTACAGAGAGAAACCCTGCCACCTGGGGGTCTGAAGTACAGAGTGAAACCCTGCCACCTGGGGGTCTGAAGTACAGAGTGAAACCCTGCCACCTGGGGGTCTGAAGTACAGAGAGAAACCCTGCCACCTGGGGGTCTGAAGTACAGAGAGAAACCCTGCCACCTGGGGGTCTGAAGTACAGAGAGAAACCCTGCCACCTGGGGGTCTGAAGTACAGAGAGAAACCCTGCCACCTGGGGGTCTGAAGTACAGAGAGAAACCCTGCCACCTGGGGGTCTGAAGTGCAGAGAGAAACCCTGCCAACTGGGGGTCTGTAGTACAGAGAGAAACCCTGCCACCTGGGGATCTGAAGTACAGAGAGAAACCCTGCCACCTGGGGGTCTGAAGTACAGAGAGAAGCCCTGCCACCTGGGGGTCTGTAGTACAGAGAGAAACCCTGCCACCTGGGGGTCTGAAGTACAGAGAGAAACCCTGCCACCTGGGGATCTGAAGTACAGAGAGAAGCCCTGCCACCTGGGGGTCTGTAGTACAGAGAGAAACCCTGCCACCTGGGGGTCTGAAGTACAGAGAGAAACCCTGCCACCTGGGGGTCTAAAGTACAGAGAGAAACCCTGCCACCTAGGGGTCTGAAGTACAGAGAGAAACCCTGCCACCTGGGGGTCTAAAGTACAGATAGAGGTGACAAGAAACATTCCAGGATGCAGGAGTTTAGACTGCACTGTGAGAAAATTCATCTAGTTGTGATGATGATGATGAGAAAAGCAGCTTTAGATGGGTTTAACATCAATACAGAGATAATACAAACAAAGGAAGACTTTGCTGTGACCGAAGAGGGACAGTCTGACCTTAAAGCTAATATAAAAGTTTATTTTATACCAACCCTGGCTGTGGATACATGATGAATAACAGTTTAGTCTGAGGCTTAGTTAGGTATTTTGAAGGGGAAGGTATTACAAACAGTCTCTCTGGGGTTAGTTTGTCAAGTGCACGTTCTAGAGTAAATACTCTGATTGGCAAGACAACACACAGCAACACACACTAACACACACAACACTGGTGAGATAAATAAAGGAACTACAGTATTTTACATATGTGTTGTCAGACAGGCATGGTATTACGAAGTCAATCAATCAATCAATCAATTTTATTTTATATAGCCCTTCTTACATCAGCTAATATCTCGAAGTGCTGTACAGAAACCCAGCCTAAAACCCCAAACAGCTAGTAATGCAGGTGTAGAAGCACGGTGGCTAGGAAAAACTCCCTAGAAAGGCGAAAACCTAGGAAGAAACCTAGAGAGGAACCAGGCTATGAGGGGTGGCCAGTCCTCTTCTGGCTGTGCCGGGTGGAGATTATAACAGAACCATGCCAAGATGTT